CTTACACTTCCAGTTAACTGCTTAACCACTTAACCTCAAGAAATGCACCTCACTGTAAATCTGATATGTAACATTGTCCTGATGACACCTATCTATAGGTGAAACATGTTGACCATTAAAACTATTACTATGCGGTAAAAATATCTGAGTGTTGTTGTCTTTTGTGACACATACAAATATAAAGGTTAAACAAACAATGAACTTCCCTCGGTTTGAATCCAAAACAATATGATTTGTTCTTTATCTCAGAAAATTGATACCAAGGAGTGAACATTGAAGTTTAACACTTGCACTTTACAAAAGAACTTTTAAAAAAAAAATTGGTAATGATTGTTTATAATTTCAAATATTGCTTCTTAAGTCTGTCAACACTGAGATCGTGATTTTGAATTTCACACATGACAGGTGAGTTTACTAATTAACTAGGATAGCATATAGTCATGTTGCTGTAAGTGATGTTAAACACCAACAATCAATTTATCAACCAATCAAATATTGCTTTTCTCTTAGAATTTTGGATTTTTGTAATTGTAGAAAGCTGCTATTTCAAGAAAAGAATCCAAAAACACTGAGAGGATTAAAGACAGTGTGCCAGCAAGTGAAATTATAACCTTAGAATCTAAAAATGCCCACTTGTCACCAGCTGCAGGTTCAGAGAAATTAATTACACCTCTATATACTGCAACACCTATTATTGATATTTTAGAGCAAGATATAATGGCAAAAACTTGTAAGTTATTATTTATACAGCAAATTTGAGAACTTCACAAATGAATTCCTTATTTATGTTATTAGAGCAGAAACTGCCAACAGGATAACAACTAATGAGAAACCGACTAACAACAAATATACGTATAGTTTGGTAGGTAGGATTAAAATATGTTGTTGGTATGATACTGCTGCTCCAGAAAACATTTTCTTGAGAACATAAAATCGAAAAAGTGCATGTTTGCTTTCAAACTAACATGTCTGCCATAGAGTGAACCTATTGTTATAAGAATCAGCTGCAGATATTATCTCTAGTTAACATTTATTTTATTACTTTTAGGTATATCAGAAGTGTGGCAATGGACACAAGTTGGTACAAATGACACATTAGGCACCATTGGTAACATCAGCATAACGTTAGAAAGTTTATTTTTTTTGCGGGGCTTTTTGCCAGATGAGGTACATAAAAATATAGTCCCTTTTTATTGTCTCAGAAATCGTCCCACCCTGATTTTTTTTTTTTTTTTTTTTTTTTTTATACATATTCTGCTGCTCTATGATGACAAAATCGTCCTACGAGAATAAAGATTGATTAATTACGAGATGGGCATGAAATATTTGAGTAAGGAGTAATGTGCTGTGTCCTGGAAGGCAAGTCGCGCTATGTCACAAATTTCTCTGATAAGAAAACTCTTGATTTTTTTTTATTTATATAATGACTTTGTGTCAGGAAACTTGGACTGTAAATGATATCCAAAGTGCAAGAATCGTTGAACACATTGGTACAAAAACATGACTGGATTAAAGAAATTGACACAAGCATGAACTTGTTAGATTTATGGCTGTATTTTGAGTTCAAGAGGTCGACAAACATACACATTGTGTTATATGTAATATACCTGACTTAGGTTTGGGGGACTAAAGACAAGTATAATATAAATAAAACAAAGAGCTTTCAAATTATGATCCTTTTACTTTGGATTCAAACATTAACCTTGACGGGCATATGAATAAATTGAGATTTGAAACTAGTTAAATTTTCATCAGTAAATTCGCAGTCTTCAGTATCAGTGCAATAATTAGCATAGTTTATTTCTTCACGTTGACGACTTTGAGGCGGACTCCTTTTTCTGGCACCTATGGATGAACGCCCGAGGGGCGTGCCCTATGACCCCAGGGTTCGACTAGTTTCCCGGATTACTATGATGGTGACACTGAAAAGCACCATGTCCAAATTGCTGACAAAGTTGACACTGCAGAGTTGGACTTATTTCACCTTGACCATTCCAGTTGCAATTTGCTCGAAAGTGACCAGGAGCCTGACAATTAAAGCGCGTTTTTGATCGGTTATTTCCTGCCTGACTTGAAAAGTTATTGTTGTAACGAGGGTTTTGATATTTTGGAGGCATTCCTGGTTTGATATCGTTATTTTATGATTTTAATTCTGATAATGCTTTTGTGAGCTCTTTAACTTGGTTTTGTAACTCTTGAACCGGATTATTATCATTAACAACCATTGGCTTAGCAGCTGCAACACAAACTACATCGTCCTTCCTATACCCATAGGCTTCGCCCATTTTAGCTGCGGACAATGCACTGGCACTGTCTTTATGTGTACCAGCCCTAACAAAAAACGCAAGCTGTTCCGGTAAACCCTTGATAAACTGAGAGAGAATTTCATGGTCCTTCTTTTTCAAAATCTGAGCTTTCTCAACTATCTGTCCATAAAAATCTTCCAAAATTTGACCCCTACTTAATTTCATATTTTGAAAATTTTCGCTCTCAAGGAACACGGTCGGACTTTGCCAATCTAACTCTATATACTTTTCATCAAAAATTGCAAGAAATTGTCTCCATGTGCGTTTGCTTCCCGCAACTAGTGAATTAAACCATGTTAATGCAGGGCCTGTTAAGTTAAGGTGAAAAGCGGCAATCATTCTTTGATCATGGGCATGGTCAATTTTGTGAAGAGTTGCAAATGAAGTAAATTCTTTCATAAACACCGGCGCATTTTCGTGGGGATAGCCCCCAAATTTGCGACAAGCAGCCAATTTTTCCATTATTGCATCTGAATCTCGAATGAAAATACCTGGTTGATTTGCCAATGGCACAGACATTTTGGGAGTGTTTATTGTAGGAACTAAAGAAAGTAATTCGTTAAATTCGGCATCCTCAGATTCGTAATTTCGTGGCATATAAGTGTCATGAAAAAGAGCTAGATTGTCGTCACTATCATATCGGTTCATGAGTTAAACACTCGATCTTCTTGTCATAGAAAGTTCAAATGTAATGAGATAAATCTCACATACACAAATAAACAGTTTTATTCAAATATACAGCCATTTTCTTCCCTCACGTAACATTGTGAGTCAAACCACGTGTTTTGTACTGTTGACAACTATTTCAAGGCTTCATTTTAATGTTTCATATGTTCATTTTGTATATATATCAGGTACCAATTGTTTCGATTTTAGGTTCTCCACTATGTAATATACCTGACTTAGGTTTGGGGGACTAAAGACAAGTATAATATAAATAAAACGAAGAGCTTTCAAATTATGATCATTTTACTTTGGATTCAAACACAAAAAGAGGCTGATACATGTAATAATCACACCAATCACGGATAATGCAATACAACAGTTCCGGAAAGTATGGATTCAACATACAGATATACAACATATAGCTAGCCCTTAGATTTACCCAAGTGTCTGGTTTTATTTGGTGTTTCGGCTTGCAGAAAATCTGTTATACCTGTCAATTATGTGATTTTTTTTTTCAAATTACTGTGGATTCATTATTATTCCTTGGATACCAATTTTCGTTGGTAAAGGTGAACCACAAATTCAAATTTTTAACAAATTACACATTTTCTATAGGCTTTGTATGCAGAGATTGACCAATCCACGAAATCAAATGCCCACGAAAATGCAAGTTTTCCACAGTCCTTGAAAATTGATATCAACAAAAATAAATGAATCCACAGTAGGTTAAGAGGGGGCTGATTATCATTAATATAACTATGTCAAGTAAGTTTTTATAACACATTTGAATTACAAAAAGATGTAGTTTCTAACTGGGGTACAATTTAAAGTAGTTTGTAAAAAGAGATACCAAGTCCATGAAAATAAAATAAAACTCAAGTTTAAAACAAAATTACTAAGTTACACATGTTACAAATGGAATGCAATACTTACAGAACAGATAATGGCAATCATTGAACAAAAGACAAACCTGGGAACAGAGAAAACACAAAACAACAAATAATTGACAAATGACACTGAAAACTAAAAATAAATGAGAAACATGGATCCTGAAAAACGGGGGCTACGTCAGACAGTGAACAGAACTTGCATATGAAGACCAGCTTTTGTTTTTCAAATTTCCTACATGAGGCATTTGCCTCAATTTAGTTACGGCCCTGTAATAAAAGTGAGGTTATGATGTTGGATACCAAAATGAGACTTTGAGAAACTTTTCTTTCCAGGTAATTGATGCCTTTTTGCATCAATTGACTTCAGAATCAGAGAAAACAATATATATTAACAGTACTATAATGACAGCAATTGCATCTAGGCAAGCAGATATACATGGCTGTTTACAGGAGGTAAATATAATTATATTTATAAGTGTATTGCACAAAGATTGTAAAAATGCAGATATTTTAAAAATTAATCAAATTTCACAAAATGTCCTGTAAAACCTGCATAAACACCAACTAGGGCGCTATGAAAAAGGACTGCTTTAGATACTGTTTTTTTTTAGGTTTCCAGATTGACAGGAAGTTATCAATTTGTGACGACAGCTATTTTGCATGTAAAAGTTCTGTCTTATTGTAAACTGTAAACTAATAATTGAAATGATAGGATAATGAGATGACTTTGCCAAAAATATTTTGACATAAACAGTACCAGTTTTCTCTAACTTTCAACCATTTAACTGTGCAAGATCTTGTCTTCAGTCATTGTTTTCATAGGCTTTGGAAATTGGAAAAATTGGTTGTTCTGGAACTTCCCTGTATTTCATAAAAGGAACATTTTACAATTTTTTTTATATCCTTGTATCTCAATGAGACCAAATTTTCCTTAAATAACATAAATTAATCATGCATTTTCGTCCATTTTTAAAAAATCGCAAGATTTATAATGAACAGAATAATTTCTGAGTTTACAGTGTGCATTTCAGAACTCAAGTCAAAATTATAGTTTAGTCATGAGAAGATTAAACACTATTTTGATTGCTAATTGGTCTTGCTGTTAAAATGTTGTTACTATTACTATTTGTAGGTCAACTTCAAGGACTATGATTGCATTATTGGAGCAGTTAATGAAGGACAAAATCACTGGACATTATTGGTATGTCAAGATATTTGATTTGAACATAGATCTGAAACATAAGTTGTACATTTCACAATCTGCAGTCATATGTATGTCCAACTAGTATATATATTTGTTTAGGGGCCAGCTGAAGGACGCCTCCGGGTGCGGGAATTTCTCGCTGCATTGAAGACCTGTTGGTGGCCTTCTGCTGTTGTCTGTTCTGTGGTCGGGTTGTTGTCTCTTTGACACATTCCCCATTTCCATTCTCAATTTTACCAGTTATACTTTAGTCTCACTCTGTAGATTCTGCATACATAAACAGATATATTTAGAGTTTTAGTCTTTTCATATGGCTGATCATGTACAGACACATGCATAATATGCTATATATCTTGTTTAAAAGAGAGGCCAAAGATGCCAAAGAGATATTCAAATTTAATTATTCAAGAAGCTAACACAACATGCCAAAGAATCAAAGCTTTTCATTGCCATCTTTTTAAATTATGTCACAAATATTTAGATGATGTGAGCCATTAGGCTTAATCCAAAAAAAACCCATATTTTGCTAGGAGATATATTTTACAAAGATGCAAATGTATTTAAATTTTCTCTTTGTTCATATATATTTTGTGTTTTATGTACTTTACAGGTTATTTTTCCACAAGAAAAAATGATATGTTACTATAATCCAATGGGTGAAATGTTCCTGTCTATGCATGAATTGATGGAGAACTGGTAGTAAGTATAAAAGACTTTTAGTCTTAATTTGAACAATTTTTAGCTCACCGGGGCCCGAAGTCCCCATGTGAGCTTATGCCATCACTTGGCGTCCGTCGTCGTCCATTGTCTGTCTTCGTTTGTCGTCTGAAACTATTTCAAAAATCTTCTCCTCTGAAACTACTGGGCCAAATACCTTCAAACTTTAACTAAATTTTCCTTAGGGTATCTAGTTTATAAATTGTATCCGAAGTTTTGATCCACAGACAAACATGGCCGCCATGGCTAAAAATAGAACATAGGGGTCAAATGCAGTTTTTGGCTTATATCTCAAAAACTAAAAACTCTAAAGCTTTTAGAGCAAATCTGACATGGGGTAAAATTGGTCAATTGGTCTAGATCTATCGGCTCTGAAATTTTCAGACGAATTGAACAACCCATTGTTGGGTTGCTGCCACCGAATTGGTAGTTTTAACAAAATTTTGCAGCAATAATGTTCAGCAAAGTAAGATCTACAAAAAAGTTAATATGACCATAATTGTCAATTGACCCCTTAAGGAGTTATTGCCCTATAAAGACAATTTTACACAATTTGTTCATCAAGTTTGCTAACATTTAAAAATCTTCTCCTCTGAAACTACTGGGCCAATTACCTTCAAACTTTTATTAAATGTTCCTTAGGGTATCTTGTTTATAAATTGTATCCGAAGTTTGTATCCATCGACAAACATGGCCGCCATGGCTAAAAATAGAAGATAAGGGTCAAATGCAGTTTTTGGCTTATATCTCAAAAACTAAATCTTTTAGAGCAAATGTGACATGGGGTAAAATTGTTTAATTGGTCAAGATCTATCGGCCTTGAAATTATCAGATGATTCGAACAACCCATTGTTGGGTTGCTGCCAACCGAATTGGTAGTTTTAACAAAATTTTGCAGTTTTTTGTTATTATTTTGAATATTATTATAGATATATATAAACTGTAAGCAGCAATAATGTTCAGCAAAGTAAGATCTACAAAAAAGTTAATATGACCAAAATTGTCAATTGACCCCTTAAGGAGTTATTGCCCTTTAAAGGCAATTTTACACAATTTGTTCATCAAGTTTGCTAACATTTAAAAATCTTCTCCTCTGAAATACAGGTGAGCGATTCAGGCTCTTGAGAGCCTCTTGTTTATTAACTTGTGCTTATCTTGAATGTAATTTTTTGGGTATCTATTCTTACTGATAAATTATGTAAATTAAGAATTGATTCATTTAAACTTATTCTTAAAGGTTACCAATTTAACACCATGGTAAATCTTTAAATATTGTTATTACCAGTACTAACATTGATTTTTGTGAACCTGTGACTTTTGTCGCAAAAGTGAGATATAGCGATCCTACGTACATTCTGTCGTCGTTGAGGTTATAATTGTAAAAACTTTCTTAAACTGTCCTGGATTTCTACCAAACTTGGACGGAAGTTTGTTTATGATCATAGGATAGTATCAAGAAGTAAATTTTGTTAAAAAAAAACAACTGTTTATCCGTATTTTACTTATAAATGGACTCAGTTTTTCTGCCAGTTAGCATTACATGCTTCTGTTGTTAAGGTTTTTAAAATTGTAATAGCTTTCTTAAAATATTCTGGATTTCTACCAAACATTGACAGAAGCTAGTTTATGATAAAAAGCTGGTGTTACTCCTCTGTCCCAGCTGGTTAGGAGAGGGATGAGTGCGCACAAACATGTTTACCCCGCCATATTCTTTATGTGCCTGTCCCAAGTGAGGAGCCTGTAGTACCAATATTTTTCTCTTTTGAATTATTTCACTTTTATTTTTTTTCATGTATTGGCCTTTGATAGTTGATTATTCAGTATGTTTTTTTCTCATTGTTGAAGGTCAACAACTTTAAAAACAGCTATAAAACCAGGTTTAATCAACCATTTTCTACATAAGAAAATGCCTGTACCAAGTCAGGAATAGGACAATTGTTATCCATTTGTTTCATGTGTTTGAGCTTTTGCCATTTGATTAGGGACTTCATTTTGAATTATCAAGTAGGTATTTTTGTTCTTTTATTTTTTTCTATACAGACTTAGAATCTTATTAATTTACCTGTTTATGATGATGATCCTTAACTTTTTGTAGTGACGACTCAAGTTGATCTTTTTCAAAACTGTATTGGAAGAGATCTAATGTTTGGAGCATTACCCTGTATATATATTCATGCCTCTGAAAGAAATCTGTACAATATGAGAAGTAAGTTATTTTATAGTGATTGCCATATTTACAAGATATTCAGTTATAACTTTCAAATTTCAGTTACTTTATGAAGAAAAGGTCAGATTTTATGCTTGATGGGGAAGGATCATGGAGAGTACAAGTCCTAGAGCACTCAAAGCAAATGGATGGCACATCATGTGGTGTTTATGTATTGAAGGTTTGATATATTATTTAAAAAACTTAATTTAGTCATACATACATGATTTTTTTATTAGTTATTATTGGCCTTGAACTAGCTGTCAGTAACTGTGAGTACTCTCAAATCTGTACTTGGTGTTCTTTTGTTGTTGGGATATACATGTACCAGGCCAAATCCACTCTGTGTAGGATTTGTATCCATCTGATGAGTTTAGCCTTTTTCAAATGATTTTTATACCCCCGCTTATAAAAGTGGGGGTATACTGTTTTACCTCTGTCTGTCCATCCTTCCGTCAGCCCATCTGTCAGTCTGTTCGTCTCATGAATATTTTCTTTGCATTTTTCTCAGGAACTACTTGACAAGGATTTCTGAAATTTGGTTTCAAGGTTTATATAAGTAAGTTATACTGTGTGATGCGTTTTCAGTTTCATCACTCAACAACTTCCTGTTTACCGAACACTTGTATTATTTTACACATGATAGCCAAGTTGAAAATTTTCGTCGCATTTTTCTCAAGAATGACTTGACAAGGATTTCTGAAATTTGGTTTCAGGTTTTATATAAGTCAGCTGTACCGTGTGATTTTTTCAGATTCATCACTCAACTTCCTGTTTACCAAAATATTTCGGCGGGGGTATCATCAGTGAGCCGCAGCTCACAGTTTTACTTGTTTAAGTTTGTTCTTATGGTGTACTGTTTCAACACAGTGTCAGGTTAGGGGAGGGTTGGATTCTGCTAACCTGTTTTACCTAGGCCTGCCACATTCTGTATGTATGTGCCTGTTCCAAGTCAAGAGCCTGTAATTAAGTGGTTCTTGTTTGTTTATGTGTTACATATTTGTTTTTTTGTTCATTTTTATACCCCCACTTTAAAAAAGTGGGGGTATACTGTTTTACCTCTGTCTGTCTGTCCATTAGTCCATCCATCAGTACGTCAGTCCATCGGTTCCCTTTCTCAGGAGCTACATCATAAAGATTTCAAAAATTTGGTTTCAGGGTTTATATAAGTCAGTTATACCGTGTGATGTGTTTTCAGATTCATCACTCAACAACTTCCTGTTTACCGAATACCTGTATCATTTTACACATGCTAGCCAACTTGAAAATTTTCGTCACAGGAACTACTATACAAGGATTTCTGAAATTTGGTTTCAGGGTTTATATAAGTCAGCTATACCTTGTGATGCCTTTTTAGATCCATCACTCAACAACTTCCTGTAACCATGTAGGAATATCACATGCGAATAAATTGTCCATTTTTGATTGATTTAAAGCTGTCATGCGATAAATTTGTTACAGGATTAACTAATGACCCCCTACTGACCATAGAGGGTGAATAAAACCCACAAACTTAAAGGTCCCCCCAAATTGTTGGCTCAGCTCCCTCCTACAACTACAATTCAGTACATTTAGTTTCTAAGGAATGACTTTTTGTAGTGTAGCTAGCTAAGTGGTTGGTTGTTCAACAAGTTTGAATTCACTTGAAAGTCTTTTATGAGTTACTTTTTTATACCCATGCAACAAAGTTGCAGAGAGTATAATGTTTTAGACCTGTCCATCTGTCCCTCTGTCAGTCCATCAGTCCTCTGATACCGCACAACAGAATTTCAGGAAACGGTGTAGATAATAAGGACATTTAATGTAGATGTGCTTTTCAACAGGAAATTACTATTGATTTTTTTTTCTAGGAGTTATGCCCCTTTGAACTTAGAATTTAGGCCTAATCATACTACTGCAACAGTTTGTCATCGCAACTTCTCAAAAACCACACAACAGAATTTCATGAAACTTTGTATATAATGAGGACATACAGTGTAAATGTGCATATTCACAGGAAATTTTTTATCAGTTGACCTTTGTAGAGTAATGTGTCTTTGAACTTAGAAATCTTTTGAGATTTTGTTTGTCCAGTGACAATATGAGGGTGTGGGGTATGTGAGCGTACTCACAAATGTTCTCTAATTTTTGAATGCAAGATTTTTATGGCCATATAGTTTTACCCTTGTCCGTCATTCAGTCATTCCGTCATTCTGTCATTCCGTCATTCCGTCATTCCGTCATTCCACAACAAACCATTATACAGACTTTTTTTCTAAATGCCTTCAGATATTGGGCTGATATTAAGTTTATTAGTTAACCATGATGAGTTACAGATCAAGTATAAGTTTCGTTCCACTCCGCTAATTTTTGCAGAAATTACGGGGTTTTGACTTTGATAAATTGTTGAAAATCACAGTTATACAGACTTTTTTTCTAAACTCCTTCAGATATTGGGCTGATATTTGGTATGTGAGTTTACCATGATGAGTTACAGATCAAGTTTAAGTTTCTTTCTGCGCCGCTAATTCTTTCCGAAATTACTGAGTTTTGACTTTGATAAATTGTTGAAAATCACAGTTATACTGATTTTTTTTCTAAACACCTTCAGATATTGGGCTGATTTTTAATATGTGAGTAAGCCATGTTCGGTTACAGATCAAGTTTAAGTTTCGTTCCGCTCCGCTAATTTTTGCCAAAATTACGGGCTTTGGACTTTGATAAATTGTTGAAAATCACAGTTATACAGACTTTTTTGCTACACGCCTTCAGATATTGGGCTGATTTTTGGTATGTGAGTTAACCATGATGAGTTATAGATTTAAAGTTTAAATTAGGTTTCTCTCCCCTGATTTTTGCCAAAATTACGGGCTTTGGACTTTGATAAGTTGTTGAAAATCACAGTTGATTTTTGATATGTGAGACTACCATCATGTTTGTGTCCACATGTGTTGTTGAAATTGCAGTTTTTCAACTTTTTGAGATGGGGCCATTCGTGTGGTTTTGACACATCTAGTTTAATTTTATTTCATTTTACATTTGTACATAAGTATGCATAATTAAAGCAATAAAGAAAAAGAAAAAACTAACACTAGAGTGTTAATAATTTATTATTGCGAACCCAATGAAAGTTTTCCACAGTGCCATCTCTATCTTGACCAGGTATTTAAACTTTTGCAAGTTCACCTGTCCTATTGAATAGATACAATAGCTATTGTTCTCTGTGTAGTTTATTCTCTGGGACCTTTAAATTTCTTCTAGAAATCAACTTTTTATGATTGAATCAATGTTTATATTAAACTGAATGAAAATATATTATTAATATTGAATAAATACATCAGCACACGCAATTAATGAGTATAAAAAAAGTATTTTTGTCTATATATAAGAATTTTTTTTTACACAGGTAATTTAATCAATGAATGATAGATTTCTCTTAGAAGAAATTTAAAGGTCCCAGTGAATAAACTACACAGAGAAAAATAGCTATTGTATTCATTCAATAATAATAAATACCTGGTCAAGATAGAGATGGCACTGTGGAAAACTTTCATTGGGTTCGCAATAAATTTGAATACAAAGTGGTGTTTTTTATTACTTGATTAGATGGCAGACACAGTCCTTTCAAATGGTGATGTAGGATTTCAAATGACACCAGAAGAACTACTAATGTACCGCCTACATATTGGTGCTGTGATAATGAGAAATCTAGGTAAAGCTTTATATACACATTATCTGAAATTATAGTTTAGTAAACACTTTTCATAGAAAAGTTACAGATGAAGAAAAGAGGACCAACTTTTGTAGTATAAATTGATGACACAACATTCATTCACATACACTTGACAAAATCAAAATCAGTTCATCTGCACCGCATGCTGTTTTTTTTAGTGTTCAGAACATATTTCACCTGATATAAAAACTGAATGAATTCATTTGACCCAACCCAAGATAAAATGAATTGTTTAAATTAAAATTCATTAATTACAATACATTAAAAGGATTTGGACAATTATGACAAATTTACAATAAGAGAATTCTAAGCAGACAACCATCAGCAGTGATCTTGTAGGACTTGTTTCCTGCCACGAGTGATTCTATAAATTTTAGTGACTGACCTTTGTAAATATTTGTGTATAAATTATAATTGTGTATGTTTTTGTCCAGCCTTCAACTTTTGTCGAAAAAGCAAGACTTAGCGATCCTACATTCCGTCTGCAGAGGCGGCGTCCACAAATATTCACCCTTAAACTGGTTAAAGTTTTTGAAATCTTAATAACTTTCTTAAACTATACTGGATTCCTACCAAACTTGGACAGAAGCTTGTTTATGATCATAAGATAGTATCCAGAAGAAATTTTGTAAAAAAGAATCCAATTTATCTGTATTTTACTTTTAAATGGACTTAGTTTTTCTGCCAGTTAACATTACATTCACTCTGGTTAAAGCTTTTAAAATGTTAATAACTTTCTTACACTATACTGGATTTCTACTAAACTTGGACAGAAGCTTGTTTATGATCATAAGATAGTATCCAGAAAGAAATTTTGTAAAAATATTTTTCCTGTTTTTCTGTATATTATTTTACTTATATATGGACTTAGTTTTTCTGGCAGTTAACATTACATTCACTCTAGATCTGTGGTTAAAGTTTTTTAAATTTTAACATACATGTGATTCTCCTGGCAGGAGTTAAAATCTCCTCCTTTTCAGACCCTCTTCCGTCCCTCCCATTAAAATTTGAAATCTTCCGCTTTTTGAAAATGTCAATCTCGAAAAATTTTCAGTACAAATTTCTGTTTACAAAATAGATACGGACAGGGAAAAAGTCTGAGAAACTTGAAATTGATATGGGAAAAGTCAAAGAAAAACGGAAGTCACCATTTCCTGTTATTGAATTTGTGACAAAGGTAAATAGGAAATTAGCCTCGAGTAATCAATGAAGGTGTTAAGGATTAGACTGTATATACAACAACAAAAGATGATTGGCATTTACCTAGTAATCAACTAGCTAGTTTAATACACACATCTGGATGATTAAAAGTGAAATACTGACAGTGGAAAAGTTGTATAACAACGACTTTAATAAATTTTTGATGCTGAAAAAATGGAACAGTTTATACTGAACCTCAAAGTCAAATGAAATCAACTCAAATATGATATATATGGCTTGTTTTCTATCCAAGCCAATGGAATACCTATAGTTTGTCTTATAATTTGACAAATGCAAACTGTATGTTATCACCAAATACCCCAGTAGCATGTTAAAGAAGACCAAGTATCTAGCCAAATTTAACTCTGCCTGGAGAACAGATTTCAAATGGTGCAAGTCCAGTGCCAAGGGTCGAGACCATGCTTACTACACTTCTTGCAAAGCTGACTATGGTGGCCCTAATTACTTGACCAAAAATATGGAGACTGCTACCCACCAGAAAGCCCACAACTCTATCAATTCAACACCTTCTATTACAAACATGTTCAGTAGTGGTACCAAAGTTGACAATGTAGCTAAATCAGAGGTACTTTCTGCCAACTATGTATGATGGCTGATCACTTTATCTTGGAACTATATATGATGAATAAATATTTGAACCCCCCTTATCTTCTATTTTATCAAGTAAAAGTGGCTATGCAGGTGTTTAAAGGTATTGAATAATTATTCTTTTAACAAAAAAGGAAGATATGCAGTTTAAACACCTAAAAAAAATCTTGTGTATGTCGATAAAAAGGTCGATAAAAAATTTCCAGTTATGAGGCCCAAACTCCAGCTGAAAATTTCCAAATCTCCAGTTGTGGCTTGACAACTCTGTCACATGTCTGTTTTAATAACTTTATTAAACTATCCTGGATTTCTACCAAACTTGGACAAAAGCTTTTTTATGATCAGAAGATTTAAAAATAAATTTTTTTTGTTTTTGTTTTTTTGTTTTTTCCTTATAAATGGACTTAGTTTTTATACAACCGCAAAAAAATTTTGTGGTCGTATATTGGTATGACGTTGGCATCGTCGTCGTAGTCATTGTCGTCCGGCATCGTCGTCTGAAGACACATTGGTTTTCGCACTTTAACTTTAGTTTAAGTGAATGGATCTCTATGAAATTTTACCATAAGATTCAATACCACAAAAGGAAGGTTAGGATTGATTTTGGGGGTTATGGTACCAACAGTTAAGGAATTACGGGCCAAAAAGGAGCCAAAAATAAGCAATTTTGTAACTTCCAGACATAACTTGTGTGTTAGTGTATGGATCTCTTTGACATTGTACCACAAGGTTCCATATCACAAAGGGAATGCTGGGATTGATTTTGGGGGTAATTGCCTCAACATTTTAGGAATTAGGGGCCAAAAAAGGGGCAAAAAACAAGCATTTTTCTAGTTTCATGACAATAACTTGTGTGTAAGTGTATGGATCTTTTTGAAATTAAAATACAAGGTTCCATATCACAAAGGGAAAGGTTGAAATGAGTTTGGGGATAATTGCCCAAAACGTTTAGGAATAAGGGGCCAAAAATAAGCATTTTTCTAGTTTCCAGACAATAACTTGTGTTCAAGTGTATGGATCTCTCTGAAATTGTACTGCAAGGTACCATACCACAAAGGGAAGGCTGGGATTGATTTTGGGGGTAAATGCCTCAAAATTTTAGGAATTAGGGGCCAAAAAAGGGGAAAAAAACAAGCATTATTCTAGTTTCAAGACAATAACTTGTGTGTAAGTGTATGGATCTTTATGAAATTGTACTACAAGGTTCCATATCACAAAGGGAAAGCTGGGTTTGAGTTTGGGGGTAATTGCCCTAAACGTTTAGGAATTTAGGGCCAAAAAGGGGCCTAAGAACAATATAATTTTCCGTTTTAAATTGGTTATATCTGATTTATATATAAAAGTAAATAATAATGATATGGTTTGAATAGGTAAATTAAAATTTTTTAAGTTCTTAGACCACATTCATTGTGTGTCAGAAATCTATGCTGTGTCAAATATTTGATCACAATCCAAATTCAGTGCTGTATCAAGCTTGAATGTTGTGTCCATACTTGCCCCAACTGTTCAGGGTTCGACCTCTGTGGTCGTATCAAGTTGCACCTAGCGGAGCATTTTATTCTGCTTGTTAACCTTACATTCACTCTGTGGTGAAAGTTTTTAAAATTTTGATTACTTTCTTAAACTATTCTGGATTTCTACCAAACTTGGACTGAAGCTTGTTTATTACCAAAAGCTAGTATCTAAAAGGAAATTTTGTAAAAATATAATTCCTGTTTTTCTGTATAAATACTTAAATATGGACTTAGTTTTTCTTCTAGTTAACATTACAAACAGTCTGCAGTTAAAGTTCTTAAAATATTTATTAGATTCATAAAGAAGTATAGACACTGGGTTCTGGGGAAATCTTACAATTTTTTTATCTGTACTTATGTGTTTTATTTTTTTGATGGACCAAACTTATTGAGCTTTAATATGTATGCCATCATGAATTGTCATAGCAAAAAAAGGCGTAATGTTAAAATTCTAGTCACAAATCTCATACTTTTATGCATTTCAAATTTATTATGAAACACTTAACCTAAGATGCATTTATAACAACTTGAGTGAAGTAATTTTGCAGAATGGTAGGATAGACTTTTTTAAATTTAATTTGAATAGGAGATAGGTTGTAAACATCAAGGGGACAGTAATCCAAATACACAAAAATAACTAAAAAAAGTCTCATTCTTTCTATTATATATTCATTTATAAGAAAGAAAATATTGCAAATAAAATAATGTGAAAATACATGCTGCTGGAAATTGCTGGGCCAAAATATAAAATGGCTGTTATTAGAGGATGCTTCTTTTTAAACTATAATTGATATATATTCAATTAACTGATTTAAGCTTAGGTACTCCCACAACCTGGATATCTTGGCTTAAGTCACATATAGGTTGCATCTTCACAGATGGTTTACAACTAAATGGAATTTTAAATAACTTCAAACAAGTGTACATTTTTTAAATCTTGTCATGTTTTACCAAGAATCTATGTACTAAAGGAAGTGACCGATTGCATTGAGCCAAAACTCCTCTGAAACCATACAAAGTCAGAAATTTTTGTGATATGACACATAAATGTAATGTTTTGTTATTCCCAAATTTGTCTGAAACTGTTATTTTTCCACAGAAAACGCCAATTTTTGAGAATATATCCCAGTTCTGAGACTGTTATCGATCTTCGCTTGTATGCTTTAGTGCATGCTCAGTCGATGGGCTGCCTGCAAAATTTAAAGACTCTTTGTCTCAACACTTGCCCAATTGTACCGCAATTTCTCAGGCATCTTCTAGTTATCATGAAATTCTATTTAAGTCATAGCCTATTCTAAATATTTTGTTTTTTTTGTTAAAGCAAGCTGACAGTGAAATAAAGCTATTTGAATGATTTTCATTAAATTTTCCTGAGATAACATATTAATTTTTATTATATCCCCGCTTTCAAAAAGTGGGGGTATACTGTTTTACCTCTGTTTGTCCATCCTTCCTTCAGTCCATCAGTCTGTCAGTCTGTCTGTCCCATGAATATTTTCGTCACATTTTTCTCAGAAACTATAATTCAAGGATTTCTGAAATTTATTTTCAGGGTTTATATAAGTCAGCTATACCATGTTATGCGTTTTCAGATTCATCACTTAACAACTTCCTGTTTACCAAACACTTGTATCATTTTACACATGATAGCCAAGTTGAAAATTTTCGTCACATTTTTCTCAGGAACTACAATACAAGGTTTTGTGAAATTTGGTTTCAGGGTTTATATAAGTTAGCTTTACCGTGCGATGTGTTTTCAGATTCACCACTCAGCAACTTCCTGTTTACCGAAATATTTCATCAAGGGTATCATCAGTTGTTCTGTCATGTAATTAGGGCCCCACCGAATGGCGGCCGCCCTATAGTGATCAGTCTGTCCGTCCGTCCGTCTGTCCCTAACAAATTGTGTCCGCTCTATATCTAGAGAACCGTTATGATTTCAAAGTTTATACTTGACATGTATATTAACCAACACCAGAGGGTGTGTCATAATGTATGTACAACTTCCTAGGTCAAAGGTCAAGGTCAAAAACTTTGGTTTTAGTTGACAACCCCATGTCCTATGGTAAAGATCGTGTCCGCTCTATATCTTGAGAACTGTTATGATTTCAAAGTTTATACTTGCCATGTATATAAACCAACACCAGAGGGTGCGTCATTATTTATGTACAACTTCCTAGGTCAAAGGTCAAGGTCAAAAACTTTGGTTTCAGTTGACAACCCCATGTCCAGTGGTAAAGATCGTGTCCACTCTACATCTTGAGAATCGTTATGATTTCAAAGTTTATACTTGACATGTATATAAACCAACACCAGAGGGTGTGTCATAATTTATGTACAACTTCCTAGGTCAAAGGTCAAGGTCAAAAACTTTGGTTTCAGTTGACAACTCCATGTCCAATGATAAAGGTACAAATTTTTTACCACACATTATTCACAGCGGGGCCCACAGAGATGGCTCCCATCTCAATGATATCTAGTTTGTTTTATTACTGAAACAAAAGTTGGCCAGTTTTTGCATCAGGTATGAATATGTAGATTCCCGTAGAACATTTTTCAGAATTTTTAAGTTAGTAATGTTTCTCAATGCAGAAACATTTGTGAATTGCTTTATGCTGTCATTGCTGTGCATGGCTGTTTTGAACTTTAAATATTTTATTTTTCAGGTCTGACAAGACTGCACCAGGCACTACAATCAAGAAGAACTGTCAGAGTATGCTTTATTTACTTGTTATTTATAACTGAATATTAGTTTGCTGATGTATATGTACCAATGAAGGGGTACAGTTTTTATAATGTTTTAAAACCACTACTTAACTGTGCATAACATGGAGATGTTAATGTCTTATAACTTTTCACTGGAAATTAGGAAATTTCTTTTGGTCAAAACTTAGTCTTTGTCTCACATGCGACAAAAGTAACAGAATGTGAGACATAGGGAGTACTATTCAGCAACAGCATAAACTATTTGTATTAAAAAACCTTTTATTATGAAAGTTTTGCTGCCATATGTCTGTTGTCCTTAACCTCATTTTCTTGGTTCAGTGACAGCTTGAAAAAATTCTAGTTTTTTTTGCCCAACCTAGCATTATGTTTTTCGGTCTGTACGTCTGTTTGTTCTACTGTCCGTTCATCAGTTCATCTGTCCCGCTTCAAGGTAAATTTTTTGGTCAAGGTAGTTTTTGAAGAAGTTGAAGTCGAATTGACTGAAAACTTAAGTTCACATGTTCCCTATGATATGATCTTTCTAATTATAATACCAATTAACCCAAATTTGACAATCCACTGAAGATAGAAAATGACAGTGTGAGTGACGCACCCTTGTACTATAGCACATAATTTTTTGTAATGTGAATGTCTCACTTATTAAGAGTGATTAAATAACTTTATTTGGTATATGGGTCTCTTACAACGTCTGCATGTCCTTCAGACAAGGTTTCACTGACCTCAATCTCATTTCAGACTGATCAATGTTAAAGAAATGTGAATAGTTCTGTTTCTGAAATACTTTAAGCAGTTAGGTAAACTATATGTAGTTTATGTAATGATTGTAGGAAGTACATGTCAGTCTGGCAGGTTTCATCTGTCCTTGATCTCATGTTTATAGTTCATTGGTTCATGATGTAAATGTTGTGTTTGGTTTAGTTTTTATATGACCGCAAAAATTTTTGTTGTCGTATATTGGTATCATGTTGTCGTTGTCGTTGTCATAGTTTTTGTCTTCTTCCAAAGACGGATGGTTTCCAAACAATAACTTTAGTAAGTAAATAGCAATCCAAGAAATTTATACACAAGGTTTATTACTTCAAAAGGAAGTTTTGGATTAATTATGGGGGTTATGGTCCCAACAGTTTAGGAATTAGGGGCCAAAAAAGGGGCCCAAATAAGCATTTTAGTAGTTTCCAGACCATAACTTGTGTTTAAGTGTATGAATGCAGTCTAAGGAAGATCCAATCACATTTAAGTACAATGTATTTAAATGGGTAATTATGGTTGCAAACTCCATTAGAAATTTGAATTGAAATTATGACCATATCTTGAGGGGAAGAATTATTTTTGGGAAAAGGGAAAATGTGGGTGGGGGATATGAAAAAAATTTGGGGGAGGGGGTAAATAAGAAATTGTGGGAGGGGACAATTTTTTTTCTCATTTCAGATTTCAGATATTAAAAAGAAAATTTCTTCAAATATTTTTTTTTTTGCCAAAAAAAAGAGGGTGTTGGTGTTGGGTGGGGTTCAATTTGCAACAGCATAGTGTATTGCTCAAAAGCAAAAAAAATAATGTAAATTCAAATCATATAACCAATTCTAAGTTATTTGACTTCATTTATTCTGTGTCAGAAACCTATTATGTGTCAAATGTTTAATTAAAATCCAAATTCAGATCTGTATCAAGTGCTAATATTGTGTCCATTTTAGCCCCAACTGTTCAGGGTTGGACCTCTGCGGTTGTATCCAGCTGCGCTCAGCGAAGCAATTTATTTTTAGGTACTACCTATAAGTAATATGTCAACTATATTTAATGTATGGAAAATCTATCATTCTGTCTTTTTTCGTCCATATGAATATAGATACATGATATATCTGGCTATCTTCCTACAGTATTTGAGCTACAGCTTAAATATTTTGTAGGTTCTTTGTAAACATAGTGAAAGTTATATGTCCACAGATTTTTCTTCTAATACTCTCAAAATGAGTGGTATTTTCGGACTTAGTAAATTTCACAAGGTAGTCGGTCACCATCTGTCGTTGTTAACTTTACAATAATCCTCACCTCTGAAACTTGTAATCAAAATTTACGTTTTTTTGCAGCTGAACAATTCATGTGTGAATGATTCAACAAACATTTCCTCTATTGTCAAACCAGCATTAGTCAGTAAAGAAGAAAATGTCAGTCCTTCAGTTGTAAGTAGATGATCATGTTAAAAAGCTAGAAAGCAAGCTTCTTTTTCAGCCAACAATACATATAGATAAAAGCAACTATTATATATGTAACTGTTCACTAATTTTAATTTGTTGTTTGAAAAAAATATTTATGGCCCAATACCTATGACTTGATAATATTTCATTTTTTATGAATTTTGTATGCATTTAGAACTCTTCAACTAATACTTCATCTGAGTATAAAAAATATGATAATTCAAGAGCTACAATTAATAAATAATTTCTAAAATAGATCTATAAAAGGATAGATTGTACATAAAAAGCGGTTAAAAATATGCATTTGTACACACCTTTTTAGCTCACCTTGCCCAAAGGGCCAATTGTGCTTTTCTCATCACTTGTCATCCGTCATTCATCGTCTGTCGTTTGTCGTCCATTAACTTTTACAAAGATTTTCTCCTCTGAAACTACTGGGCCAAATTAAACCAAACTTAGCCTATATCATCCTTAGGGTGTCTAGTTTAAAAAATGTATCAGAGAGTTATTGCCCGTTAAGGTAAATTTTTCACAATTTTTTGTAAATTTTTGTAATCTTTTTCAAAAATCTTCTACTCTGAAAATACTGGGCCAAATTAAACCAAACTTGGCCTATATCATCCTTAGGATATCTAGTTTAAAAAATGTATCCGATGACCCCGCCAATCATCCAAGATGGACACCTTGGCTAAAAATAGAACATGGGGGTAAAATGCAGTTTTTGGGATATATCTCTGAAGCTAAAGCATTTAGAGCAAATCTGACACGAGTAAAAATGTTCATCAGGTGAAGATCTATCTGCTGTGAAATTTTCAGAAGCATCAGTCAACCCCTTTTTGGGTTGCTGCCTCTGAATTGGTAATTTTAAGGAAATTTGCAGTTTTTGGTTATTATCTCACTACAAACCAGTAAAAGTCTGAAATGGCCTATTTCTGTACTCGACTGTACTGATTTTTACTCGACCAGTCTGAATTGGTCTGAATTTTACTCGACATTACTCGACCCCAGTCTTAACCATACTCGACCGTACTGATTTGTACTTGACCCTTATCTTTGCCATTGAAAATAGTCTGAACTATTACTCGACCAGTCTGAAACAGTCTTAACCCATTCTCGACCTGTACTCGACCAATTTTTTCAGTCTAAACCATACTCGACCAAAGGTCTGAACAATACTCGACCAGTCTGAACCATTCTTGACCAAAAAACCTATACTTTTTTTCTAAATTCAGTTGGTAAAATTAATTTCTTTTTTTCTGACATGACAACAGCCACAATAAATTTAAAATAAAGATATATATAAAAACATATTTTTACATCCTTACATGGTTCTCAGATTTATCAAATAGAGATAGTTAAATTAAATTATCTTATATAATAATTTAATTATATTAATTTTAAAGTTTTAGAGTTTTGTTAAAAAAAAGATTTTCTTTTAACTAAAAACCACACCTTTACTGAGGGTAATGAAACCTTATTAAGGTGCTTCTTGTTTGGCATGTGTTTTTTTGTTTTTTTTTAACTTAATTTTCCTAAATTCCTAAAGAAAAACTATATAGGTTTCATGGTTACATACAATAGTTATATAATTATCTTTTTAATGAGGCAACAACAGCCAAAAAATCTCTGAAATTGTTTAACCTTATATTAGAAAAATATCTATTCTTATTATAATTTGGGATATATTATATATAATATATATCAAAAAAGGGATAAAAAAATTAAAGAAATAGATAAAATTGTTCTTCTGATTAGTGGTAAAGTATAAAGTAATACCTCCTGCTTGTGGCAAACTCATTTAAAAGATCACACCTGGTCAGAGAGTATTAATTTCTAATTAGCATTCATTAAAAATTGCAACATCCTGTAAAACTTAAATCGCAAGGCCTTTTGAATTCACTAGATAAGTAATACACGAGTTTAAGAAAAACTGGGCTTTCTTTTTACCTGTAAAACACACATGTACTGAGGTAATTAAACCTATTTAAAGTGCTTCTTGTATGCCATGTCTTTAATTTTGACAAAAGTTATTTAAATTTAATTGAAATAAATTTTTTCTGCAACTTTGGAACACATTTCCTTTTTTAAATGGTTATCAAGGATTGCTATGGAAGTTCTATTATCATGATTATATTAAATTCTTGGTTTTACAAAACAAAGGTGTGATTTTTAAAATTTATTAAGTTGCTTTATATACTATTTAAAATATATTTTAATAAAAAAAATGTTCACTGCATTATTAACTACACTCAACTGACACCATAAATCTATACAAGGCTTAAGTAAATGGTGAAAATTGTCCAGTAACCATAAAATATATCTGAAACATTCAAAAAAAATTTGAATAACATTGAAAATATTAGTCACATTTCAGTTTTAAGATTATTTGATCAGCTTGTTTTATTTTTATTTTAAAGGTGATATATATATGTAAGTGTTGACAAATATGGTGTTGAATTTATATTATGTTTATTGTGAAATTTTGGTTTCAATGCCATATTGAATACATTTTAAATTTCAAATTGTTGTTCAAATTTCTAGCCAGGGGAAATAGCTGTTAAAAACAGTTCGGAATCCTAAATTGATGAAATACAATAGATAGATACAAAAATTAGGTCTAAGTTGGTTAAGACTTAGTCAAGTATGGTTCAGACTAGGTCGAGTATGGTTCAGACTAGGTCGAGTATGGTTCAGACTAGGTCGAGCATGGTTCAGACTAGGTCGAGCATGGTTCAGACGAAAATAAAATGGTTAAGTACTGGTCGAGTACAAGTTCAGACTGTTAAGTATGGTTCAGACTACAGTCGAGTATTATCAAGTAAATTTCAGACCAATTCAGACTGGTCGAGTAAAAATCAGTACAGTCGAGTACAAATATAGGCCATTTCAGACTTTTACTGGTTTGTAGTGTCTTGAATATAGTACTAGATAGAGGTAAACTGTAAACAGCAAAATTGTTCAGCATAGTAAGCTCTACAAAAATGTAAACATGAACAAAATTATCATTTGACTTAATAAGGAGTTATTGCCCTTTAAGATCAATTTTTTCACAATTTTTGGTAAATTTTTGTCATCTTTTTAAAAAAAATCTCATCCTCTGAAACTACATAGCCAAATTAAACCATTCTTGGCCTAAATCATCCTTATGGAAATTAGTTTGAAAAATATATCCGATGACCTTTCCAATCATCCAAGATGGCTGCCTATGCTAAAAATAGAACAGGAGGTAAAATGCAGTTTTTAGCTCACCTGGCCCAAAGGGCCAAGTGAGCTTTTCTCATCACTTGGCGTCCGTCGTCCGTCGTCCGTCGTCGTCCGGCGTCGTCCGTCGTCGTCCGTCGTCGGCGTTAACTTTTTACATTTTGAACTTCTTCTAGAGAACCACTGAATGGAATGAAACCAAACATGGCATGAATGTTCCTTATGAGGTGTTGACCAAGTGTTGTTACTTTGTAGCCGATCCATCATCCAAGATGGCTGCCAGCGGGGGACTTAGTTTTACATAGGACCCTATGGGAAATGCATACAAATGACTTCTTTTAGAGAACCACTGAATGGAATGAAACCAAACATGGCATGAATGTTCCTTATGAGGTGCTCACCAAGTGTTGTTACTTTGTAGCCGATCCATCATCCAAGATGGCCGCCAGCAGGGGACTTAGTTTAACATAGGACCCTATGGGAAATGCATACAAATGACTTCTTTTAGAGAACCACTGAATGGAATGAAACCAAACATGGCATGAATGTTCCTTATGAGGTGCTCACCAAGTGTTGTTACTTTGTAGCCGATCCATCATCCAAGATGGCCGCCAGCGGGGGACTTAGTTTAACATAGGACCCTATGGGAAATGCATACAAATGACTTCTTTTAGAGAACCACTGAATGGAATTGAACCAAACATGGCATGAATGTTCCTTATGAGGTGCTGACCATGTGTTGTTACTTTGTAGCCGATCCATCATCCAAGATGGCCACCATCGGGGAACTTAGTTTAACATAGGACCCTATGGGAAATACATACAAATGTCTTCTTTTAGAGAACCACTGAATGGAATGAAACCAAACATGGCATGAATGTTCCTTATGAGGTGCTGACCAAGTGTTGTTACTTTGTAGCCGATCCATTATCCAAGATGGCCGCCAGCGGGGGACTTAGTTTAACATAGGACCCTATGGGAAATACATACAAATGTCTTCTTTTAGAGAACCACTGAATGGAATGGAACCAAACATGGCATGAATGTTCCTTATGAGATGCTGACCAAGTGTTGTTACTTTGCAGTTGGTCCATCATCCAAGATGGCCGCCAGCAGGGGACTTAGTTTAACATAGGACCCTATGGGAAATACATACAAATGTCTTCTTTTAGAGAACCACTGAATGGAATGAACCCAACATGGCATGAATGTTCCTTATGAGGTGCTGACCAAGTGTTGTTACTTTACAGTCGGTCCATCATCCAAGATGGCCGACAGCAGGGGACTTAGTTTAACAAAGGACCTATGGGAAATACATACAAATGTCTTCTTTTAGCGAACCACTGAATGGAATGAAACCAAACATGGCATGAATGTTCCTTATGAGGTACTGACCAAGTGTTGTTACTTTGCAGTCGGTCCATCATCCAAGATGGCCGACAGCGGGGGACTTAGTTTAACATAGGACCCTATGGGAAATACATACAATTGTCTTCTTTTAGAGAACCACTGAATGGAATTGAACCAAACATGGCATGAATGTTCCTTATGAGTTGCTGACCAAGTGTTGTTACTTTGCAGTCGATCCATCATCCAAGATGGCCGCTAGGGGGGGGGGGGGCTTAGTTTAACATAGGACCCTATGGGAAATACATACAAATGTCTTCTTTTAGAGTACCACTGAATGGAATGAAACCAAACATGGCATGAATGTTCCTTATGAAGTGCTGACCAAGTGTTGCTACTTTGTTGCCGATTTACTGTTCAAGATGGCCACCAGGATATTTTATTAAATAACGGGACCAATATTAATCAAAATTTGGCCTCAATCATTATTTGGGTATCTGTTATGATTTTTATCTATCTTTACATGATTTCTAAAACCAAAGTAGAGTCAGGTGAGCGACACAGGCTCTTGAGAGCCTCTAGTTGGGATATCTCTCTGAAACTAAAGCATTTAGAACAAATCTGACACAGGGTAAAAATGTTCATCAGGTGAAGATCTATCTGCTTTAAAATTTTCAGACGCATCAGACAACCTGTTGCTTGGTTGCTGCCTCTGAATTGTTAATTTTAAGGAAATTTAGCAGTTTTGGGTTATTATCTTGATTATTATACTAGATAGAGATAAACTGTAAACAGCAAAATTGTTCAGCAAAGTAAGCTAAACAAATAAGTTAGCATGATCAAGTTGTCAATTGATCCCTTCAGGAGGTATTGCCCTTTAAAGTCAATTTTTCACAATGTTTTGTTAAATTTTTGTAATCTTTTACTCATATCTTCTCCTCTGAAACTACTGAGACAAATTTAACCAAACTGGGTCACAATCTATTAAAAAATGTGTCTGATGACATGCCTGCTAACCAACATGACCGACATGACTAAAAATTGAACATAGGGGTAAAATTCAGTTTTTGGTTTATATCTCTGAAACTAAAGCAAAAGTATAATGGTTGCATTTTTCATTTTTGCCCCTTAAAGTCAGCTTTTTACAATTTTTCGTAAATTTTTGTAATCTTTTAAAAGAAATCTTCTCTGAAACTACTGAGCCAAATCATTTTAGATAGAGATAACTATATGCAGCAAGAATGTCAAGTAAAGTAAGATATACAAATAAGTAAGCATGACCAAAATTGTCAATTGACCCCATAAAAACACAAAAACAGAGAATTTTGTCATGAATTCTATTTTTGTCTTTGTTATTGTAGAGTGTCTTTTGTTTAATATGTACTGCAGCATATAGACCAAGGTGAGCGACACAGGCTCTTGAGAGCCTCTAGTTACTGGACTTATTATGGTATACTGTTGTACGTCTGTGTGTTGTCAACATGTTGGACAATAACTCAAAAAATGCATGGTTAATTGTTTATATCTGTTGATGTAAGCTCCTTTTTTTAGCTCACCTGGCCCGAAGGGCCAAGTGAGCTTTTCTCATCACTTGGCGTCCGTCGTCCGTCGTCCGTCGTCGGCGTTAACTTTTTACAATTTGGACTTCTTCTAGAGAACCACTGAATGGAATGAAACCAAACATGGCATGAATGTTCCTTATGAGGTGCTGACCAAGTGTTGTTACTTTGTAGCGGATCCATCATCCAAGATGGCCGCCAGCGGGGGACTTAGTTTAACATAGGACCCTATGGGAAATACATACAAATGTCTTCTTTTAGAGAACCACTGAATGGAATGAAACCAAACATGGCAAGAATGTTCCTTATGAGGTGTTGACCAAGTGTTGTTACTTTGAAGCTGATCCTTCATCCATGATGGCTGCCAGATGGGGACAATGTTTAACATAGGACCCTATGGGAAATACATACCAATGTCTTCTTTTAGAGAACCACTGAATGCAATGAAAACAAACATGGCATGAATGTTCCTTATGAGGTGCTGACCAAGTGTTGTTACTATGAAGCTGATCCATAATCTAAGATGGCCGCCAGCGGAGGACTTAGTTTAACATAGGACCCTATGAGAAATACGTACAAATGTTTTCTTTTAGAGAACCATTGAATAGAATGAAACCAAACATAGCATGCATGTTCCTTTTGAGGTGCTGACCAAGTGTTGTTACTTTGAAGCTGATCCTTCATCCATGATGGCTGCCAGATGGGGACAATGTTTAACAGAGGCCCCTATGGACAATACATACAAATGTCTTCTTTTAGAGAACCACATACTGAATGGATTGAAACCAACATGGCATGAATGTTCCTTATGAGGTGCTGACTAAGTTTTGTTACTTTGAAGCTGATCCTTCATCCATGATGGCCGCCAATGGGGGGACTTCCTTTAACATAAGACCCTATGGGAAATACATACAAATGCTTCTTCTAGAGGTGCACTGAATGGAATGAAACCAAAACATGGCATAAATGTTTCTTATGAGGTGCTGATTAAGTGTTGCTACTTTGTTGCCGATTTACTGTTCAAGATGGCCACCAGGATTTTTTATTAAATTACAGGACCAATATTAAACCAAATTTGGCCTCACTCATTATTAGGGTATCTGTTATGATTTTAATCTATTTTTACATGATTTCCAAAACCAAAGTAGAATCAGGTGAGCGACACAGGCTCTTGAGAACCTCTGGTTTATTATTTTAATCTTTTGATTCTACTTTTCTAAGTTATGGGATTTTATTCATTAATAAATGGTGATTTTTCAGTTTTCAGGAAGTTATTCAAAAATGCTTGGAGCAGTTTCCTTGAAACATGGTAACTGGTTGAAATAACCTCCCTTGTGTTTTTTATTATAAAATAATGACAGAGGAGTTATGTAACTTGACTCGTTAAAAAAGGGAGGCTATTTTATATATTTTTATATTCAACCAACGATTCCCAGTCAATATTGTACTGCATGGCTTCCCATACATATACTTTTACATGTGTTAGATTTCAATGCAAAAACTGATCTGATCTCCTGAATGTGTGCATTTGTTAACTAATAACTAATATCATCAGTACTTCCACTAGCTTAAGACCTGGCCACACATTCATCATAAATGGAACTGTCAGTGTCAGACTCTATATCACTGTATGAAATTTGTCTCTCAGACTTTTCTGATTCAGAGTTCACGGGGTATAGATCATTCACTATTGTTATTGAATTTCATCAAGAAAATCTAAATCTCAATCTTTTCAAATAAAACCTAGTAATTGTGGTGGCGGTAGAAAGATGTAAAGCAATACTATCCTGACTTGCCATATTTCTGCAGCGAAATTTGTTTACTCTAACATCAGAAGTGATTTTTCATTTCCAGCAAAGACTAAAATATTTGATAATTCCCTGACCTTTTACGGCATTTCTCTGGAAAAATATTATCACAGACATCATATATTTAAAATAAGAACTTATTTAATTGGACACAAACTGTCATGGCAGGTCTCATATAGTGATTATGATCATTATCTTTTTGGTTTGAAGGTGATATCAAAAATAAAAATAAGAAGATGTGGTATGATTGCCTATGAGACAACTCAATCTCCACAAGAGATACAGAAATTAACAACTTTAGGTCACCATACGGTCTTCAGATTGCACTTCAGTAAATATAGACAATGCAATTTCACATAGGAACTCTCTTTAGAGCCATTTTTGTAAAACTGTGCCCCTTTTACTATGAATTTCGTAAAAAAAAATTGCACTACTATGTAATTCAAAGGTCAAAACATAGGGATGTGTTGCATATTTTTAACATTAATATGCCCCAAACTTCTAAGAATTTAAACTTATACTAAAATTCTGTTCTTAGCACTACCTTTACTTTGGGCCTTCCTCAGTATTAAATAGTCACCGCTACCATGAGTTTTAAGACTGGTAATATTTCCAAGTTATGTCCTTTGAGATGAAACATAGAGATCAAATCTGGGAATTAGTACATAAATAAAACAAAATATCTGAGTATTATTTATCTCCTAAAAAGAGACATGGCTTGTGAAACAGCTGTATTAATAAAAAAGAGCAATCTTCAACAATGAGTTGAAAACAAATGCAAAAATAGTGTTTTACAGTATCTTTTTAATTTTAATACATTGCTATGAAACATGAAATACAGGTCATATGCAATTTAAATTTTTATTTTGTCATTTATCATTTTTGGATATCTGTTATCACTAGATCTCTTAGTCATAGTTGCATTAATTCTTCAATAACAGTATTGGTAATGATAAAAATGATAAGCTATATTTTTTTCTTTTAATTAGACTGGTGATAGGTATAATGAAACAGTAATTGATGATGGAGCTAACGAAGAAACTGAATTGTTTTTATGTAGAGGTAAATTTTATGAACAAAAGGTCACTGTATGGCCTTCAGCAATGAGCAAAACCCATACGTAAAGTCAGCTATAAAAGGCCTGAAATGACAAATGTAAAACAATTCAAACGAGAAAACTAAGTACAAAAAATGACCAAAAAAGAAATTCATTGTAACCTGTGTTATCTGACACACTAGGGGACAACAAAAAAAATTATCAAATTAAGCAGGGTGTTGGAAAACTCATGTTTTTCTGCAAGGATAGGCATAATTTTGGACCATGAAAAAATGTGGGTTAAAGCAGGATGTTGGAATACTCAGATGTTGGATTAGGCAGGTTACACTGCATGTATGTTACAAAATAACAAGCGACAACCACTGAATTACAGGCTCCTGACTAATTAATCACTCAACAGGTTCCTGTTTACTGAAACATTTGGGTGGGAGTATCATCAGTGAGCAGAAGCTCGCAGTTTCACTTGTTTTCATCATCTCACAGAATTTATTTTTCCATGTCAGTTCAATTAAAAAAGGTCAAAATTTCCATTGATTTTTCGGATTGGAAACATGCATGAACATTTGTTTACAACAATAATTTTTTTTACATAATGTTTGTGATAACACTTTCCATATTTGACTTTCAAACTTATATTTAGTTTGTCAGTGCCTGCACTCTAATATTTGATGGACCTAATTATGTTTGAATTCTAGTGGATTTTGTCAAATTACACCAAAAGCTCTACTTTTGCATTGCCTTTTGTTGTTGTAAATTTTTATCGCTTTATAAGAAAACTTCACTCTTCATCAGATTGAAATATTTATTTTCTCGATACAATGGTCTTATCATTTGGGGCCAAATAAAACCCTTATGAAACGTACTCCTTTGGTGCTTCTGAAACAATTTTCTAGATTTGCTTTTTTCAGGATTGCTCAAACCAAAAAATGCAAGAGTCAAGGATTCGAAGAACTTGAATATGTTAGAATTTAAGAAATGTATGTTTAAGTCATATGTATAATGTAAGGTACATAAACAAACAAAATGTTAACTGCATAATAGCAGCATAAAATAGCTACAATTTATCAAAAGAGTTTCATAGTTGCCAGTTAGCAAGTATCATATACATGTATATATAAATATATATATAGTAATAATTCCATTTTTACAGCTAATGGCAAACCTAAAAGACCTTGTTTGTTTTGTGGAAAATTTCAAACTCATCTGACCAGACATCTAAAAACAAAACATAAAGGAGAAGAGGATGTTATCATGGCAATGCAACTCCCACCAAGGGATAGGAACCAGGCATTTGATGTGTTAAAGAGAAAAGGCTACCATAATTATAATTTATTAAAAATGAAAGAGGATGATTTTAACGAAAAAAAATTGATTAAAGAACGAAAAGCAAGAAAAGACAGAGATGGTGAGATAGAGAAAAGAGCAATGTGCTCTTCTTGCAATGGTTTTTTTGTAAAAGAACATATGAAGAATCACAAAATAAAATGTTTTGCAGCAGAAGGATGCACTAGGGTTCCTGTTGCTATACCCATAGAAACTGTTAAGGATGTCAAATACTCAGAAGAATATAAGGAAGATATTTTGAGTTCCTTTTGGGATGACCAGAGTGGAAGATTCTGTAGAAGTGATCCATATATAAAAGATTTTGGATTTCATTATTATAGGAAGATGGTATCCAGAAAAGACAAATCCCAGCAAAATAGGAAAAGTATTACGAAGCAGATGAGAACAATTGCCAATTTATATTTCTATGTTAAAGAGGAGGCTGAAAAATCAGATATAACTGTAACATCTGCATTAGATATTTTTAAAATGGAGAACTTTCCTGTTTTTATGGATGGAATTAATTCAATGGCAGCAAAAGATGACGGAGGGATGAAGTCAGGACTGAAAAAGAATGTTGGTCATCTTATACAAAATGTCCTTACCCACTTAAAAGGAAAATATATTTTAGAAAACAAGAAAGATGAAATGAGTAAAGTTGACGATTTCAATACATTATTAGACTACTATAAAGGAGAAATATTTAGTGATGCTGAGTATAATTGCAAAAAAAATAGGCAAGAAAACTTGAGACGACCTAGACAGCTACCAGTAGAGGATGACATTAATAAGCTTAGGCAGTTTATCTTAACACAAATAAAAGAGTTGGATGACCCTTATAAATTTTTAGAACCAAATGAATATACCTTTCTCAGAGATCTTATAGTTAGTAGACTAACATTATTCCATGCAAAAAGAGGAGGGGAACCAAGCAGACTCACTTTAAAAGAATGGATGGATGCAAAGGATGATGCATGGGTAGATGAAAGCCAAATGAAAAAGGTGAAAAACCCAGAGGAATTGGAACTTTTTCAGAAATATAAATTGACATATCAATCTGGTAAATGTGTTAGTCACCTTCTCCCAATTCTCATCCCTGAAGACACATGGAAGGCCATGACAAAACTAACAGATCAGCAAATTAGACAAGCAGCAGGTGTCAAACAAACTAATATATACGTATTTCCTTATATTAAAGATTCAAACTTTCATGTATGCGGCTGGAAAAGTGTAAACAAAATTTGTAAGAAGGCAGAATTATCAAAAAGGATTAATGCTACTCAGATGAGGCATTACATGTCAACATTATTTGCCAATTTGGAGGTAACAGATGCTACAAGAGAAGCCTTCTACAGACATATGGGACATTCTGAAGAAGTTAACAAACACGTTTATCAATGTCCATTGGCAATACAAGAAATAACTAAAGTGGGGAAGTTCTTTCACCAATTTGATTTAGGTGAGTTTCATTTATGTTCTAAGCTAAATCGTGTAAACATATTGATTTTACATGGTCCAAACATCAGATTTATAGCTGTTCTGATCTAAATTGTCTATTCTATCAAACAAGATAGTTACATTTTACTCCAAAAAAGTTTAAAATACCATTTCTGAAAAAGCCTTAGAATGGGAGCTATAAGGATTATTATCTGTCGGCATTGACAGCAGAGTAAACTATTTGTATACAATTTATATTTCAGAAATTAGTAGACCTTAGGTTTTCATATCTTTTTGTGCAGATACCATATGTTATAAAGTTTCTGTCTGTCAAATGTCCATTGTCCTTGACCTCATTTTCATAGTTTAATGACTGCATACAAAAAATGTATAAATTTTTTATCATTTGAAATACTCATTATTATGAGTAATAGGATAACTATATTTTGTATACAGGACCTTTGCAAGGTGTACATATCTGTACATGTCTGTCAGACAAGGTTCATCAGACCTCACCTGAGACATTTATGTATCAGTCATAAAGGGGAAGTTTTCATGGTCAAGTCTGTATGTCAGATGTCATATTCAGGAGGTCAACTATATTGATTCAATAGTGTACAGGTTTCATCTGACTCTTCCTCATTTAAATGGTTCATTTGTCACTGTTAAGTTTCATTCGATTGTCTTTTTCAGAATTTTATGCTAATATTACTGGTGAGACATATCTCTGTGTCAACAGTTATCTTATTATGATAAGTGTTTTATAGGTTTTGTTTAAATAACAATCGCATTGTTTCTGTTTCAGATTCAGGTAATATAACAGCAGAAGAGGAACCCAACAGTCAAGGTATTATTTTCTGATATAGTGGCATTAGTGTTATTTCCTCCTTTTTTCATTAAAAGCATGCTAGCAATCTAAACTTCTACTTTTTGGAAGAGGGTGGTAAAGCCCCTTTTATTTATTATCATTTTTTTTTACTTTGCTTACTCAATTACTCATGCAAAATATGAATAAAAATTTTAAATGGGTCAAGTATTCACTCTGTCATCTATAAAATTTTAGATTAAACAGATTTAGAAATTATTGTGATCATTGAACAATCGAAACAAATGCGAGTTTGATTATTGAGATTTATGGAAAAGCTGCATAGAAATAATGTTATCAAAATTTTAGATGGGAGTTTTGCAAGTCCTTTCTCACCACAATTTTTGCAATAATAAAAAAACATGGTATAAATTTAGGACTCTACAGTAATTAGTAGATAATCTTTTAGTAGACGTTTTCAAAAGTGGTTTTGAAACTGTTTCATGTGTTTAGGGCTACTGCAAAGCCTTTTGGATTTGGAAAGGCATGGTAGATAAGCTTTTTCAAAAGCTTTTTCAATAGAATTGATAATTAGATGCGAGATGCAGTGATTTGTCAATTTTACTGTCGACTTTAAATTTGTTAGCCAAGGCAAGCTAACCATCACTTGAAGCTTGAACTTATATAAATCCTTTGAATGTTTCAAAGTTAATTGACTCTAACAATGAGTTCAAGTTGTCAATCATGCAAGGAACAACAAAAATGTCCATAAATATTTTTTGGTATGTGCTTTCTAATTACATCAAGTATTAATATTTTTAAACAATTATATAAATAATGACAATAAACCACTTTTAACTTTATTAGCTCACCGAAGGGCAGCATGTGAGCTTATGCCATCACTTGGCGTCCGTCGTCATCCGTTGTCTGTCGTCGTCTGTCGTCGTAAACTATTTCAAAAATCTTCTCCTCTGAAACTACTGGACCAAATACCTTCAAACTTTAACTAAATGTTCCTTAGGGTATCTAGTTTATAAATTGTATCCGAAGTTTTGATCCATCGACAAACATGGCGGCCATGGCTAAAAATAGAACATAGGGGTCAAATGCAGTTTTTATACGACTGCAAAAAATTTTTTGTGGTCGTATATTGGTATGACGTTGGTGTCGTCGTCGGCGACGTCGTTGTTGCCGAAGACACATTAGTTTTCGCACTTTAACTTTAGTTTAAGTGAATGGATCTCAATAAATTTTACCATAAGGTTCAATACCACAAAAGGAAGGTGGGGATTGCTTTTGAGGGTTATGGTACCCACAGTTAAGGAATTAGGGGCAAAAAAGGGGCCAAAAATAAGCATTTTTGTAACTTCCAGACATAACTTGTGTGTAAGTGTATGGATCTCTCTGACATTGTACCACAAGGTTCCATATCACAAAGGGAATGCTGGGATTGATTTTGGGGGTAATTGCCTCCAAATTTTAGGAATTAGAGGCCAAAAAGGGGCAAAAAACAAGCATTTTTCTAGTTTCATGACAATAACTTGTGTGTAAGTGTATGGATCTCTCTGACATTGTATCACAAGGTTCCATATCACAAAGGGAATGCTGGGATTGATTTTGGGGGTAACTGCGTCCAAATTTTAGGAATTAGGGGCCAAACAGGGGCAAAAAACAAGCATTTTTCTAGTTTCATGACAGATTGTGTGTAAGTGTATGGATCTTAATGAAATTGTACTACAAGGTTCCATATCACAAAGGGAAAGCTGGAATTGAGTTTGGGGGTAATTGCCCAAAAAGTTTAGGAATAAGGGGCCAAAAAGGGGCCAAAAATAAGCATTTTTCTAGTGTCAGGACAATAACTTGTGTGTAAGTGTATGGATCTTTATGAAATTGTACTGCAAGGTTCCATATCACAAAGGGAAAGCTGGGTTTGAGTTTGGGGGTAATTGCCTGAAACGTTTAGGAATTTGGGGCCAAAAAGGGGCCAAAAAACAAGCATTTTTCTAGTTTCCAGACAATAACTTGTTTTCAAGTGTATGGATCTCTCTGAAATTGTACTGCAAGGTACCATACCACAAAGGGAAAGCTGGGATTGAGTTTGGGGGTGATGAATCATAAGGGGGTTCAAAAAATTGGGGGGGATATTTTTTTCCTTCTTTTTCTTTAAAATTTTCCATTTTAAATTGGTTATTTCTGATTTATATATAAAAACAAATAATAATGATATGGTTTGAATATGTAAATTAAAAATTTTTAAGTTCTTAGACCACTTTCATTCTTAGTGAGAAACCTATGCTGTGTCAAATATTTAATTACAATCCAAATTCAGTGCTGTATCAAGCTTGAATGTTGTGTCCATACTTGCCCCAACTGTTCAGGGTTCGACCTCTGCGGTCGTATCAAGCTGCGCCTCAGCGGAGCATTTTATTGGCTTAAATCTCAAAAACTAAAGCTTTTAGAGCAAATCTGACAGGAGTAAAATTGTTCAATTGGTCGAGATCTATCAGCTCTGAATTTTTCAGACGAATCGAACAACCCATTGTTGGGTTGCTGCCAACGAATTGGTAGTTTTAACAAAATTTTGCAGTTTTTTGTTATTATTTTGAATATTATTATAGATATATATAAACTGTAAGCAGCAATAATGTTCAGCAAAGTAAGATCTACAAAAAATTTAATATGACCATAAATGTCAATTGACCCCTTAAGGAGTTATTGCCCTTTAAAGACAATTTTACACAATTTGTTCATCAAGTTTACTAACATTTAAAAATCTTCTCCTCTGAAATACAGCTGAGTGATTCAGGCTCTTGAGAACCTCTTGTTGATATTGTGATTAAGACAATAAAATTTTAATACCCAAGCTCACCTATTGTTTGTAAAAAGTAGTGATTAACACCTGTAAAAACATTTATGGATGTGTCAATTATGTCCCCTCAGACAATGAAACTATACTTAATTGATTTTTCATTACTTGTTCAGGTTTTTTGTTAATTGGGCAGTTGATTAAAATTTGTAGAATAAAACAAAGTTATATCTTTTACATAGAGAAAGGACACTTGTCTACTTTTCACATGTTACACTGAACTTGTCTAAATTCTTTTAAATAAGATGAATAAATTAAGGCTTAAAAAAAATCACCTAAATTAGCTTTTTTCGTGAGGATAAAAAGTTATAAGAAATTCTTTGATATTGCAATATTGAATGTAATCAAAAGTTATCCAAAGTAATCATGATTACTTTAACATATTTAAAGAAAAGTAATCTAATGTAATCTATTACATTTGAAATAAGGTGTAATTTGTAATGTAATCGATTACATTTTATTAGCAAAGTAATTGTAATATAATTGATTACATTTTATTAGCAAAGTAATTGTAATATAATCGATTACATTTTAAAATAATCATCCCCATCCCTGCTTCTCACAAGCAAAAAACCCATAGCTGTTAAATTTAAGGACATACACAACAAGCACAGGTACACATTCTACCGCATGGACACAGTACAAGCAAAAGACCCTGCAATCTCTATTAAAATAAGGAAATGTGGTATGAGTGCAATAAGGACAACTATACCTGTCCACCCAGTTATTCATTCTACTTTTATTTGATATTTTGGAAGTATGTATTTTTGGAGAGCCGAGCTGAATGCTCTCATTGAATTTTAACCAATTCTATCTTTAAACCTTTCCTCAAAATTGAGTTTCTACTATATAACCCATATAACATAACAGTGATTTGGTTAATTTCAATGTAATTTAAAAGAAAAAACAAGATCTATGACCCCTAGTTTTTATATTGAAATTTGAAAGAAGATTGACCCAGAAGTCTTTTACAGGAATTTAAGAAACATATATCCCCAAACTTTAAGACACCCCAGGTACCTTAATACTGTTTTCGGGAATTATTTGGATAGGTGAATGATCTCTTGATTTTGAAATGTATCGTTTGTCATTCCAGAGTTATTGGACCTTTTACAGTCATAATTGACAGTACATATATATGCCTAAGGGTATCCTCGTGCATATTTTTCTACAGAGCAGTTTTATTTGCCTCTGATTATATGCCTTCTAAAGACCTCATTTTATTTTTGCAACAATTTCAATATATGCATAATATAAGGGCTTACCATGTGCTCTTGACCTGTTTAATCTATTACTAACTGGCAATGGGTTATTTCACTAATTAGTGTTTGGGCAATTCTATATAAATCAATTCATTCTGTTATTCTATATTTACTTTGTATTATTAGAGGATGTCGCAGGACCATCATCACTGAATGACAACAAGTGTGCAAAAAGTGAAGGTAAATATTCATTAAATTGCATTTCTTCAAATTGAACTCATGCCTTAGTATAATTAAAGTAACAAAACATGAAAATTTTATATTAATGCAATTAAATTCACAAACCATTAATTGCAGTATGAAAAAATTGCCAAGAAAGGACCTCTGTATTTTACACAGATAAATAAAAGAATTTTTTATAGGCCCGTCAAAATTTTGACGGGACGTAATATGGTATACAAATGTCCGGCGTCCGGCCATCCGTCCGTACGTCTGTCTGTCTGTCTGTCCAGTGTCCAAATGTGTGTTTTTACACATGTCCCGCTGTATCTCAAAAACGATTTATGATTGTTGCTTAAAAATTTACACACTTCTTAGTTATATTAATCTAAAGATCTGTATATTTTTTGGTGATGATCTAAAATTTTATTTTAGAGTTATTGAGTTTTTTGTGTATTTAGATTCTTAATTTTTGGTCCCGTTTTCAAATTGGTCTACATTAAGGTCCAAAGGGTCCAAAATTAAACTTAGTTTGATTTTAACAAAAATGGAATTCTTGGGGTTCTTTGATATGCTGAATCTAAACATGTACTTAGATTTTTTATTATGGGCCCAGTTTTCAAGTTGGTCCAAATCTGGGTCCAAAACTAAACTTTGTTTGATTTCAAAAAAATTGAAAAATTGAATATATAGGGTTCTTTGATATGCTGAATCTAACCATGTATGTAGATTTTTGATATTTGGGCCCCTTTATCAAATTGGTCCACATTGAGTTCTAAAGGGTCCAAAATTGAACTTTATATGATTTGAGTGGTTTGTAAATTCTTGAGATAGACCAGCTTGTCTGGAGATAACTTTCATTAAGTTAGCCAAAGTTTTTTTCCTAAAACCTGGTTCATGTACCATATTTCACAGGAGTGGTTGTAAGAATTTAGTGGACACTGCCATAAGTCATCTCTTTTTGGATTTAGCTTGAACAAGTACTTTTGAAAGTTGCCACAGGACACAGAGGGTGATCTAAAAAAAAAAATTAAAATATAGGTAAACAAATCTGTCAGTTTCTCATGTTAATAGTTATAAATACATTCACTTCTATAAACTTGGGCATGCTCATACGAATCAAGTGATAATTAAAGAGTTTCAGTTCGTTTTTTTTTATTTGGTATTTACCATTTTTATTGTGATCAATGTCTTTTCATGCAAGTTAAACGAACATTTCCTCTGATTTTTCATCAACTTAAAAACAATACAGCAAACGAATTGAAGCCATGTAAGTCTCAATAGCCTATTTGACAATCAAATCAAATTTAAAATTTTTTTTGTGTAATTTAGAAGTTGCAATTTTTCTCTCTTTTTTTTGTTTGTTTGAAATTTGCTGAACTTTTCTCTATAGTTGGTTAGATTAGAGTTATTCCTTACTTGGTACTCATACATGCGACCTTCAGTAATGCAGCTATCTGAACTCTCTTGATGGTTCTTATCAAGCTGATGATGGGCCTGGAAAACATACTCCCTTCCACTGGCATCTGTTTGTATGGCAAAGGTTCTTTTGTTCATTTCTCATAGGTTTTCTTGTCCTTGCCGACATAAGTGAAACATAATATCAAACCATACTTTGTGTAGGGAGTCCTGCACGGGTATCAGTTTCCATGGCAACACTTCCATATCACTTTTGCAAGTCTTGTTGACCCAACGATGGGGTGTGGTCAATGCTCCAAAATCCTTCCCGTTTCAGTTGCAAAGAAACGGCTTTAAATATATCATTTGCCCTTTTGAATCTTATATGTCTTTTATTATGTCAACATCCATTTCCTAAAGGAAATGCCTGGCTAGTCCTAATCTTAATCCCTTCAGAGCTGAAAATTTGTAATATGCTTATGATCTTTTTTCCTGGCGTCTGTGTTAAATCTGATTAAACACTCGTTCAGTTTTTCTGGTGTATCAAATACCAAGTTATCTCTTTCTGTCGATAACATGAATTGCATCAGACATGTCAAAGCTGCTTTGGTTGCTTTTTTTGTGTTTTTAGCGTCTTTGTCACAAGGAAGTCTTTGTATATTGTCCTCTGTAGAGTTCCCAAACCGCTGGCTTGCCATTTTGTTTACAAACGTTGATGAAGTCATTTTCTATGAGAAAGAACTTGTGCAGAAACCAAGAGGCTCAAAAGGTTATTCCCCAATGGGTGTTAATTTGTAGGGTTATTCATCGCTGGGTGTTAATTTTTAGGATTATTCATGCTTCCTTCAATTTAAATGAAAATTTACTGAATTATTCCATGTCACGTGATAGTGTTTTACCCAAAAGAATTGTTTAGTACATATGTAAGGTATAATAATTTGTATTGTAATGGTATGCATTCATTAATTTAGATAATTGCATGTAACATATTTTCAATTTATAGTACATGTACACATATATTATCATTTTAACAACAACAAAATTGTATTTTTAATTTATCTTAAAGGGGCACTAGCTACGAGATATATAAAAAATCTAAAATATGATTTTTTTTGTACAATCATTAATGAAAGTGAAATAGTGAAATAATTATTGGCTTTAAGCAGCCAGTATGGTTCAATTTTGTCAAATTAATCTAAGAAACATTGATGATGAATTATTCACTTGCAAGTGAATAATTCAATCCCAATGCATCCGTATTCATATGAACTTCAATGTAACTCCTTAGCTAGAGATGGATAATGCATGAATTGTCCGTGTAAAGTTATTTAAGGGAAAAGAATGTCAACATTTAAAGTGAAACAAAAGTCAATTATTTGATTGACTGATTAGATCCACAAAAAATCATTCTTATACAGGTAAAAACAATAATAAACATATATTTTTAATCTATAATATGAAATTAAACAGACCTAGAAAAATCTAATTGCACAAGTTGCTTAATCTATTTATATCTATATTTATGTTTAAATCGCTTATATGGTCATCAAAGGTTAACTCGATATTTAATATGATGGCGTCTGGACTAAAATACACACGAAACAAAGCTACATATTATAGAGCTCATGACCTGTAAACTGTTAATTTAAAACTTTCAATAGTTTGGACAAATGTTTACATTGTTATAAATCAAATATGAGAATTTTAGTTAAATTGGTGAACATGAATTTGACAGCTAGAGCCCCTTTAATAGTTTACTTCCATATAATCTACTTACTTTCACTTTCTCTTTCAATTGTTATTTATAACGTTACTCACCATAGCAACATTGTGACTTTTTAATTGTCTGTCCTTAAAGTGTTGTTGTTACCTTACCTTCTTCATTTTATGTTTTTATTGTAACAACCCTGTATACCACTGTATGAAATCTACTGACAGAAGATTTACCAGGCGTTCAGGTTCACTTGTGTTTAGTTTATTTAATTAATTTTAATAAATTATTTTTGTATATAAAATTAAAGGATTACTGTTTTTTTCCACTTTTAGTAGATGAAGGTAGCAGTGAATTGACAAAAAGTACTGAAAAGAAAGGACAAAAGAAATGTAATATGTATTTTCTTACTTTAACTTTGAGTTCCACAAAATTACAGGGTTAAGCATAATTAACCACCTCAATTATATGCTTTAAATTATCACTTAAATGTATGAAATGGCTGTAAAAGACCTTCAAAATATCAAATTATACCATTTATTATTACGATGATATGTTTTACCTTTCAGATTTTTTAGTCTGCATTGTTTTATTTTAAAGTTCTCATACCAATGATCTTGAATATGCATGAAATATTTGCTACTAGACATTTAGTAACTAACAATTCAAATCATACCAATTGAAGTTTGTGTTTTTAAATTATTTTAAACATTTTCATTAGGGGATGGTTCTTTTTCAGATTTTTTGGTTTAAAAAAAATGTCAAGTTAGAAATTCAGTGGTAAAACCAATTAACCAATAGAAAAGTAACTTATGATATAAATAAAATTATTTCTAAACAATCTTACATTACTGTGCATGTGTTATTAGAAACATATGCAAACACATGATGTTTTATTTTCATTATTTATTGAGTTAATTGCATAAGTATGTGAAATAAAAAAAAATTGTTAAAAAATGAACTTCTCTCATCTATGGCTGGATACATATTTGAAATATTGGCAAGTTCAAGAGAGGTATACACCTATCAAAAAATGAATTGAAGTTTGTACTCTAAGAAATTATTTATATAGCAACATTTTAAACCAATTTTACTCAAAGCTCCTATAGCCTGCTGTATTCCTCGTTTGCTATTGGAGTAGGGAAATAATATCATTGTATGGAAGTTATACCATACCATTTTTTTATATATTTTTTTTTTATCTCAATGATGTTTTTATTGTTATTATTTACAAGAACATTTTCTTGTGAATTTATAATTGATAATGTCCTTGCTAAAACGAGACCTGTGGAGGACATTTTTGAGAATTGTAATTTGATAATAGTATACAGAAACACCATCACATATTGCATTTTTATCTTTTGTTTGTTTCAACAACATTTATTTCTATTTTTAACAAAATTTTAAATACAAACAAATTAGACACTAACCTAGCATACATTACTGTTCATGGTTTTATCATAGGCCTTGTAGTATTATTCAACTAGGCATAAGTTTTTGCTCAAATGGGCCATAGAAAATACAGGTAAATGGATTAATCCAGAGCCTAAAAGGACTATAATATTAGCACTAAAATGCTAAACTAAAGAGTACCCCTGAAGTTACAAATTTGTTACTAAAATGTCCTGCACCCAAGGGGACAATTTAACCTTGAAAAGAATAAGTGTTTAGTGTTTGCAGGAGAGGAAGTATTTGACACTAGACTCTCTCAGGTCAAGCAGAATAGCCATTGAGAAAATTTACTTAACATATTTCCTTCAAAATCTTATTTAAACTAATTGGTATTTTTAAAATTGTTCAGAAAAAAATTCAATGAACATATGTTTATATAAGGTTATCTATTGTTAAAATATAACTTCTGATAATTATTTTTCAGTCATGGTATACAGTTCTTCAGAGAATGATTCTAGTATAGAAAGTGACTCAGAGAATGATTCTAGTCCAGAAAGTGACTCAGAGAATGATTCTAGTCCAGAAAGTGACTCAGAGAATGATTCTAGTCCAGAAAGTGACTATAGTACAGATTATGGTGAAGGTATATATTTTGGCTTGCTTGAACACAAAATGAAAATTGTAAGGATGTGTGGTATGATTACAATTGAAATAGTTTAATCTACCGAAGATTAAGTGATGTGGGTGTAATCAAATATAGGTCAAAGTACAGCCTTCAATGATGAACAAAAACCAGTACAATAATGTTACGGGAGCAGGTTGAAAAAGGTACCATCTTTGGTAATTTACTAATCCTAGGATATTTGAAAAAATTTACAGAAAGATTGCACCCTTATTAAAGTTGTGCAATTTCTCAAATGGCATTTCTTTAATAATTTCCCACACATTGTTCCAGAATTTGGAACTATTGTAAATAAGGAAATTTGGTATTATTGCCATGGATGTGATAAAATAATTTGTATATCTCAATCAAACAATTCAGAAACCTTGGTTTGATAACACCTGAGAGATAACCAACCCTCCTAAAAAGAATTCCAGATAGGAAACCCTTGTCTCATTCTTTTTAGAATACTAACATCAACTCTAATGAATTTCTCAATGAACATTGATTACTACATAAAAATAAAACTGTTTGAAAGAAAATAATAGAAAAGACCATTCAATTCACTAGGCACTCATGATTTTTTACTTAAACCAAAACTATGTCTAGTCTACAACAGGACAAAACTAACACTAGTCAGTATATAGAAGTGAATTATCAACAACAACAAAAATCAATTAAAAGAAATACTGTCAAACAACTTATTTTTCACGGATACTTAATTTTGTGTTTAGCTGTTTCTATCCCATATCGCGCCGATTTAATTTCGCGATTCTCAAAACTTGAGGAAGATTAATAAGGAAACATCCAAGTTTTACTTTCCACGATGATTTATATTCGCATAATCGTTCTTCTCACGAAAGTCACGAAAATAAATCACTCGCGAAAATAAGTTGGTTTACAGTATGAAGTATGCAATATAATGTTGCTATTCCTAGTCATAATGCGAAAATAGATCAAAGAATACAATTCCTGATTTTCACACAATCTTGATATGGCCCATTCAAAAGAAATATTTACTGCAGCCAAAGTATCTCTATCTTTAGTTTTTATTATTCACTGAATGCAACTTGTCACCATATTTTCGCTTCTAACGAACAACACAAAGGTTACAACTAGTGAAGCTGGAAATGTTTATCATAGAAAAGCATTTGAGGAGTATTTCCTGACTTTTAGTAAGGTTTATTTTATGCTTTGTCTTGGTATCTTCTTACCTTTTCTATGTTTATGATCAGGACTCTGACATGATACTACATTTGAATACCTTTACAGTAAAAATGAGACAACATTTGTTTGTCTGAATATTCAAAACCACTATAGTATTCAAAGGCATTTTATTATGTCAGTAACCAAATGTAGATTTTACAGGAAATAGTGATTTAAAATATCCACATAGACATTTTAATCCTATAAATACATAATTGTGGTTATCAACTTTATTTTGACATGCACTGCAATTAGTATTGCAATAACATGGTTAAGGGATTTATAGCATATTTTTCTTTAAAAGTTCATGTTTCTTTTTTTTTCTTTATTAGGCAGCAGTTCACACAAGAGAGGGTTAAAAAGAAAAAGTAAAGGTAATAGATTAAGTATTATCGATCATGTGGATATTAACTATTATAAATTTTTATCAACCAATTTTATTTGAAATATATGAATGTATGCATTTCTATACATTAGCTAATCATTTGAATTATATCAAATTCATTCTAATTAGAAAATTTATTGTTTGGTTGGCTGACTTATGAGAATGAATCTTTCCTTGGTTATGTCCTCTCTTTTTAAATTGCAGATGACCAAATTGAAGAACAAATCAGAAGTAAAAAGAAAGGTAAGTTTTAAAAAAATGTTACCATATCTCCTTAATTTTATGCAATTTTCAATATTGAGTAAGATATAATTTGAACTTTAAAAGATAAGATTTTTTGGCACTCAGAATATTGATAAGCTGAATTTTACTATGAAAAAAGTGACATTAGCTCACCATCACTTGGTGTCCGTCGTCCAGCGTCGTCCGTTAACAAAAATCTTCTCCTCTGAAAATACAAGGCCAAATTTAACCAAACTTGCATTGGCCACAATCATCATTGGGGTATTTAGTTTTAATAAATGTGTTGGATGACCCCGCTTACCAACCAACATGGCCACCATGGCTAAAAATAGAACATAAGGGGTAAATGCAGTTTTTGGCTTATATCTCTGAAACTAAAGCATTTAGAGCAAACCTGACATGGTTTACAAATGTTCATTAGGTTAAGATCTATCTGCTACAAATTTTTAGACGAACAAGACAAGACGTCATTGGGTTGCTACCCCTGAATTGGTAATTTTACGGAAATTTTGCATGTTTAGTTATTATCTTCAATATTATTATAAATAGAGATAAACTGATAACAGCAATGTTCAGCAAAGTAAGATCTACAAATAAGTCAACATGACCAAAATTGTCAATTGACCCTATAAGGAGTTGTTGCCCTTTAAAGTAATTTTTTTACAATTTTTTGTAAATTTTTGAAATCTTTTACAAAAATCTTCTCCTGAAACTACAGAGACAAATTTAACCAAACTTGGCCACAATCATCATAAGTTATTCTAGGTTAAAAATTGTGTCCAATGATCCCGCCTGCCAACCAACATAGCTGACATGGCTAAAAATAGAACATAGAGGTAAAATGCAGTTTTTGGCTTATATCTCTGAAACTAAAGCAAAAGTATAATGGTTGCATTATTTCATCCATCAATTGTAAACAAAAATTTCAGGTGAGAGACACAGGCTCCTCTGAACTTCTAATTTAGATCAGGCTATTACAATAGTAAGAAAGATTGTACTTTGAGACTGACAGTCATGTAGTATTACTGATGAAGTTGTGCTTAACCATAAATAGATAACACTGAGATAAGTGATTAGATGTTTAAAAGATTATACTATTCAAGTATTAATTACGTAGCCAGGTAACAAGTACAGGCCTCTACAATAACTTTTTTTTCAACTTGTCCAGTAGGACAAGTACATACCAAAACTTACTTGTCCGAATGAAATTGTAACTTGTCCAAAAAAATCTTAATAATAACCTTTTTTGCATTTTAAGTTGATTCAAGGAACAAAAAGAATTAAAACAATAGAACAGAATTTGATTTATATCTTTTGAAATACTATTCAAAAATATGAGTCGAATACAATTAACTGAATCTAGTCATGTCACAGAACTTAGGTTCTACTTGTAGTTCCTCAATGCCAAAGTCTCATCAGATTCTGCACATGAGGCACCATCTGATAGGGCTGTCAATGTACACTCATTGGATTTGTATCCTGGTTTTTTAAAGTTGAAAAAAGTTTATTCAAATGCAATAAATAAAAAAAAGATGAGGTATGATTGCCAATGAGACAACTCTCTGCAAGAGACCAAATGACACAGAAATTAACAACTATAGGTCACCGTATTGCAAGTATTGTTTTTTTTTTCTACATATGATCAAATATGATTTTGTGAATTTAATGGTAAATAATTTTTCATTTTTATCTAAAAAATATTTTTGTTAAAAAAATTACCGGTATGTTATTTATTATAAAGCAACAGAATAAGGTAGGAAAATGAGGTACTGATTTGTCTTGGTCCCGAAATGTCTCCTGCGTTGCCAAACTGTCTATTAATCATGTCTATTAAATATGTCTCCTATGGGGCCAAACTGTCTATTAAACATGTTAAACTTGGAGCCGAATCGTTTCTGAGCTTGTGACGAACTGTCTTGTAAAGTTACCTTATCTACAAAGCGCATCGCTGATTCGGATCAGTAAGACTGGTTTCCGAGAATAGTATGCATTTTACCTGTTAAAAAGTACCTGACAAAGAACCAGTTTTAAATTATCGATTGCAAGTAAACATGTCTTGTTTTCATCAAAGTTGGATTAAATTTATTTTATGCAGAATAATTTTACTTGTCCCGTCGGACAAGCTTGATATAGTTTTTACTTGTCCGACCCTTTTTCCCTCTGGTACCGGACAATCGGACAAGCGTTATTGTCGAGCCCTGAATTACCAATTTTAAAGCATTGAATGAAAGTAACTATCATCTTGAAGTCAATTTCAAATTGGGCACTACAGCAACAGGGTATCATTTTTAGTTCACCGGGTTCAAAAGTGCCTATGTGATCTAATGTCATCACACTTGGCGTCTGTCGTTAGTTGTCGATGTCTGTCGTCGTAAACTTTTTCAAAAATCTTCACTGAAACTTCTGGGTTTGTTATTAAATTTGTACCTTTATTGAAAGAGTACTAAGTGACCATAGTAATTTTCATTGTAGGAAGGAGATATGTTAATTGGAATAAGGAGGATGAAAAGGTTGTAAGAACATACTTCAAGGATTATGTCGAAGACGTGTCTAAAGAAAAGTCCAAAGGATCACTACCTGGTATGTTATAGTATAAGGGCAAGTTTTTAAAAGGTTTCAGTATGAAAAAAGTATTTTTTGACACTGCATAAGTTTTTAGCTCACCTAGCCAAAAAGGCCAAGTGAGCTTTTCTCATCACTTGGCGTCCGTTGTCCGTCGTTAACTTTTACAAAAATCTTCTCCTCTGGGCCAAAGTTAAACAAACTTGGCCACAATCATCATTGTGGTATCTAGTTAAAAAAAAATGTGTCAGCCATGGCTAAAAATAGAACATAGGGGTAAATTGTAGATTTGGCTTAAAATCTCTGAAACTTAAGCATTTAGAGCAAAACTGACAAAGGGGTAAAATTGTTCATCAGGTCAAGATCTATATCTGCCCTGAAATTTTTAGACAAATCAGACAATGCGTTGTTGTGTTGTGCACCTGAATTTGTAATTTAAAATTTTTTGCAGTTTTTGGTTATTATCTTCAATATTATTATAGATAGAGATAAACTGTTAATAGCAATAATGTACAGCAAAGTAAGATCTACAAATAATTTAACATTACCAAAATGGTCAATTGACTCCTTAAGGAGTTTTTGCCTTTTATAGTGAGATTTTAACAATTTTTTTGTAAATTTTTTAAATCTTTTTCAAAAATCTTCTCCTCTGAGACAAATTATGCCAAGCTTGACCACAATCATCATTCTAAGAGTATCTAGTTAAACAAAATGTGTCTGATTAAGCTGTAAAACTTGTCAAGCACCTTGTTACACAAGTTTTCAAAGTATTGCTTGTCACAGTTTAGCTTTTATGCAGTATGTTTTGATTCCATATGGCAGTTCGGTAGACCATGGCTACAAAATATTGACGATGCCATAATTTGTCTGATACCGTATAGCGGGTTATTTTCGTGGGGTGTTTATTTTCGCGGATAAACGAAAATCGCGAAAATAAATTCTGCGAAAATTTATGCATACATTTGGTAGTTTCGAAGTTAACATGGTTAAAGGATTTTGTAAACAATCTATTTTTCCCTGTTGACAGGTCAATAACGGTATATGTTAGTTTTAACAAGATAAATGCCAAAGGGCATTGTACATAAATGTATTTTATAAAATGACTGTCAGGTGTGTATACCCTTATTAATAAGTGTCAATTAGGATAAGAGTGTAAGGTACTCTTATCAGGTAATTACCCCATATTAATAAGTGTCAAACTATATAAGAGTTGTAAACACTCATGATAATTTTGTAACCTTATTAGTGAGTACATCAAAGGTCCGATCAAATCTAATCAATCGTAAAATTTACAAATCGTTTGAATACTTGTAACAAATAATTATCTAAGTTAGCGGTATTCTTATGATTAACTGTATCAGAAACTAATCAATAAATAAGAGGTCATTTCGGTAAAAAAAATGCTTTAGATATCATTATAATATCTAATATCTAATACTATTAATTATGAGTTTAACCTTATTTTACATGATTTCCAAAGCATCAGTAAATACAGGTGAGCGACACAGGCTCTTGAGAGTCTAGTTTCTACTTCCATTCCAAATTCTGAAAAAATATTTTTTCTTGTTTTTAGAATTTAGAAAGAATGATTTGAAACATCAAAAAGGTTTTTAAAAATTTAAGATGTTTTTTTTCAATTATCATCATAGCCCAGGACTATTGTTAGAAAGTTTCATTTGTAAAATCTAAAAGGTTAAAAAATCTCAAAGTTTTTCTACAAATATCAAATACTCAATTTAAAATTGGAACTGTCAAAATTGACACAGAAGACCCACATAGTACTAAAAATGTCGACCAAACTTCTGACTTCGTCTCTTTAGATTTTTTAATTTCCTCTTGTAAACGTCTTTCACACTTGGGCATTGTGATTGGAATAAGACAAGAAACACAAACTCATAATGTTATATAGATACTTATTTAATGAGTTCAAATCATCATTAATTAACTTGTGTACTGATCAGCTGTTAACAACAGTTAAACATATTTTTACCTATTTATATTACAATGAGCATGCAGTGTTGACAAGGCAGTTTAATTTCGAAATAGCAGATCATAATCAAAGTACTGAAGTACTGAACATCAAATGACCGCAAGTTCTTGTGGATGGTCAAAAGCACTTATCACAGAAAAAAATCACATCTCTATACCTGAAACTGAGGTTAATGTACAGAAATATATATTTTTTTGAGACAATTTCGTTCGTGGATGATAAATAAATGACAGGAAATTCAACCTCACCGTAATAACTATTATATTGTAGTGATACAAATCAGTTTACACTGGTTTGTTGTTATATATTATATTAATATAACAGTTACATGTATATATAATTTTCATCCATTTGTATATCATTCTATTCTACTATTCTAATAATAGTGCAGTGCAAGTGCATGGTGGACACTCGTCTGTAAAAATTCGATTTTTCTAAAAGATTTGATCTGAGCAGGCATTCATATTTTCCCGCAAAAACAATTACAGAGTTACCGGTCCTTGCCGGGATTGTCGCATAACGTTTTTGAGATATTCTTCCGCATGCTTTAACACAATTTTTTGGTACGTTTGCGTAGATATTATCAATGATTTTTTACTTATTTTTTATATATATATATCTAACGACAAAACATTTTCATATTATTAATTTATGTTCTAAACAAACATATTTTTATCAGTATTCATTGAAGAGATGTATTTATAACAAACGATAAGGAATGTTAGTTTGCACTAGTTAATATCCACATATTTATCATGTTTATAGATTGGTTACAAACCCAAAACGAAAGTTACGTGTGCAAATCTAGGCGATAGCAATACATCGGAATGCCCTCACAGTCATCTCGATGTAACAAAACGAACAAAATAAAATACAATTGATTTCAAAAAGTCAGGGCACTATGATAAAGGCAAAAGGCACCCTGGAAACTTTAAAAAGGGCACAGGGCACCACCCCTCTGAAAACCACCTAGCTGGATCAGTGTTTATGGATAGTTATTTTTGTCAACCTTACAAAAGTTTATGGAGAATCACTATACATAAGTGGTAGGTCAATGATATTTGGTATGCAGTTGTATAAGCATTGGAATATCTCGTTTCCATGGATATTATTTGGTACCGCCCCCTCAGTCATGGTCTATTTACTTTGAAACTTTTGCTTAGTTTACATGTATTATAGTTTGTGATCAGGTCAGTTCAAGGCTAGGGGAACCTGAATGATTAGTGGTAGGCCCATGTTAATTGGTTTGCAGTTGTATAAGGATTAGCACATCACATTTCCCAGTCTTGTTTCCATGGAGATTATATAGTCGCAACCCCCTCATCATGGATCATTGACTTTGAAACTTTTACATAGTTTACAAGTTAAATAAATTATGTTTGTGTGTAGGTTTGTTTAAAGGAAACGACTTATGACTTATGATAAGTCAATGATATTTGGTATGCAGTTGTATTAGCATTGGCACATCTCATTTCCATGGAGATTGTTTAGCCATGTACCATCAGTCATGGTTCATTCACTTTGAATATTTGCATAACTATTGCTTTTTTAATTTCAACATTTGCATTATCAAAATTACAAAAAAGTGTGACATATCTCTGTGTTAACAGTTTATTGTGTTGAACATTAAAAACTTTTAAAAAATTCATTAAAATAATATTGTATTTCAGGTTTTAATGCCATTGAAGTATTTATGAAAAAATATCCAAATGTAATGGCCAATGAAACAGACCCTGTTATTAGAAGAGATATTATAAAATACAAAGTCTTCAATGAAAGAAATAAGACCAGGAAAAATTATCAGCAGAGGAAGAATAAATATTCTATGTAAGGTATGTGTTTATTTTAATAAATTAACTGTTTATAATCTTTGAATTGTTCAAATACTTTATCTACCCCTGGAATAGATTAATTACCACTGCTGTAGGTGGCAAAACCTTTCATAATCAGGCTCAGAACTAACAACAACAACTTTTTTTTTAGAGGGTAACACAGTTCTATTTAACTGATCTTCCCTGAGGCCCTCGTCATAGGAAAAGCATTAACAAATATGCAACATAAAGGGCATATATTAGTATGAAAGTCAAGTAAAATGAAAATTTTCAATACAACTGCATAAAATGATATGAAAATACACATGATAAAACAAAATAAACAGCGGTATAATACTGTTACTTTAATTATTCACCCCTTATTTTATTGATTTTGTATTTACATTATATCATGGATTAAATTAATTCGTTCAGTGTATGTTCACTTGTGTTAATATGTCTTTTGATTGAGTTAAGCCATTTCAATTGATATTTTATAGTGTGTCTTTCTATGTTGTGATGGTACACTATTGTTTCAGATAAGGGTGAAGGTTGGTACCTATTAAAACGTTTAAACCGACTGCAATTGTTTGCACCTGTCCTAAGTGAGGAATCTGATGTTCAGTAGTTGTCATTTGTTCATATGGTTCATAAGTGTTTCTCGTTTTTAGCTCACCTGGCCCAAAGAGCCATGTGAGCTTTTCTCATCACTTGGCGTTCGTCATCTGTCGTCGTTAACTTTTACAAAAATCTTCTTCTCTGAAACTACTGGGCCAAATTTAACTAAACATGGCCACAATCATCAATGGGGTATCTAGTTTTGAAAATATGTCCGGTGACCCGGCCAACCAACCAAGATGGCTGCCATGGCTAAAAATAGAACATAGGGGTAAAATGTAGATTTTGGCTTTTATATCTCTAAAACCAGAGCATTTAGAGCAAATCTGACATAGGTAAAATTGTTTATCAGGTCAAGATCTATCTGCCCTGAATTTTTCAGATGAATCGGACAACCTGTTGTTGGGTTCACTTGGGTAATTTTAGTCGTAAGTTTTTTTGTGAATCGACTCCAGACTTTCAAGAACAATTCCGATACTGATTTATAATGATTTCAATAATCTGAGACACTAATTTCATCTCAAACGAGAAGGACAAATGTATAGAAATGAAATCAGTTACAGATATCTATATTTCCAGTTACCTATATCAACGGCAATTTATTTTTTTCAGTTACCCATATCACGTTTTTTGGACGACCGATTTCTCCTTTTAGCGGTTAAACTATGAAAAATCCCATAGTATTTCAGTTTCAAA